GTAATGGCCAGTGGGCGTTTGTGGGGGTAAGTGCACAAGTCTCTGCAGTTTCTGCAGGCAGGAGCGGCCACTGCTGTTCAGTTTAACACCAACGTGCCCGGGGAGCGCCGAGCAGGACACAGTACTGGCATTTTCCCTCTTTGGTGGGACTGTTTCATAACTTCAGCACATTCCCAGGTATTCAATTCATGCAGTATTTTACCCTCTTTACAGTGTTACAAAACCGTGTAAATGGGAAGGAAAATTAATTCTGGAAGTACTTAGCATCACCTTCTGTGTGCCTGCTTGTTCTGCTGGATGTGCCTCCTGTGCCCATGGAGCCAGACTCGCTTGGTTAGGAATGTCTGTTGGCCCACTCTGTTCTGTGCCCTTGTACTTCACTACATTTTCAGGTTTTTTATCTTTTAGGAGTCTGAACACTGGTAAGGGCAGTCTCTTGTATTCTTTTTTTTCTTGCTACTGGTATTTTCATATCAGCTTTTTCTAACGCAAGTTTAACTAGCTGAATAGAAAAGAAAACTCCCACTTGGGAAGGGATTATTTCATTCGTAATCAGAGTGGAGTACATCTTAGCTGCAATTATCTTTTTAAATTATTATTATATTTTTTAGTTATCTTTTAGTGCAGTGTATTTTTTTAACTTATGAACAGTTTATTAGTCAGAAAACGTGCTGCTTGGTGGATGTATTTTTCCAAAAGTTTGAAATAGGGGTACTTGTTAATTAATTAATGTCTGGCAAGAATTCTTTGAACTGTGCAGTTATTTCTGAAAAATCTTCAGCAGCCAGGGCTGCTTTATTTCCTGGAATTGTTGCATATCCAGTGGTATATATACCCATCTGTCATCGTGCCAATCACCCATTTCCTATAGATAAGTAGATGGCTCAGTACCAGCCATGTCAGGAACACACAGTTGGACAGTTAGATGGGCTGGAAGGGTCTTCAGTTAATGTACAAACCTCATCAGGTCTTGGCCAGTGCAAAAGCTTCTGCTCCTCATTTTGCTGCTCAAAGGCCAACAAATACTGGTCTGATAAGTGCTCTGATATAGTTGACTCAGTCATTTGGCAATGGACCCCAGACAGAACAACTATCACGTTCAATCTTAATTTAATAGTCTTAATATATTGCCTGCTGACAGAAAACGGTAGGTAGGAGCTTGGCAGAACATGAAATAAGTTTGTAAGCCTGGATAGAATGTTTAGAACTTGGCTTTAGTCATGCTAATGAGATGATGAGAAAATATCAAAGGTGAGAAGACTTGAAAGTAATAACAATAAAAATCCTGGGCTTTCCCCGGGCTTACATCAGCCTGGCCAGTCTGACTGCAAACAGCCAGCAGCTGCATTAATTTACATCTCACACAAATGTACCTTATTAGCAATAGGTATAGCAGCTGCTTCTACAATTTGGTTAATTTAGTAGTAATAGTACTTAATGACTTTGTTATGGTAATGTGGAAATGTTATCTTCGTGTTAAGATGATGATAATTTTTTAAGAAAAGTGTTTTGCATCTTTTTCTGTCTTGAAGGTTTTGTCTGTGGATTCTCTAGAGCTGTTTGTATTTTTTTCTCTCCAAGAACAGTTAAGGATTTTCACCTTCAGAGATTTGCTTTTCCCCAATTAATACCATATAGATTTCACACACTTCATATTAATGTTTTCTTCCAGTCATGATTACTCTGTATTAGTGATCATATGTTCAGAATTTTGAAGTAACAATCTTTTGGTAAGAGGTCACTTTTTTAAGGCATTGGCTCCGTCAGTCTAGTCAGAGAGTCCATAAAAAGACTAATAGTTGGACAAGTCCCCAGCACTGCTGTGGAGGGCTTTAAAAGAAGAGTTGGTCGAAGCATCTATGAGAAACTGTTGGTTACTGGCCACTTTTTTTCTTAATTATTTTTAAATAAAAATAGGCTCTCAATTTTAAAAGCTGGACAGTGATGACCTACAGCATGCTTCAGGCTCTGGAATTTCCTATAAAAGTCCTAAATTCAGATGGAGGGTTTGCAATGTGCCTTGTGAGAGTGGGTCATGGCAGCCAGGCCCAGCTCCCGAGGGTGTCTGTGCCTCTGTGTGCAGGAGGGAGCAGGAGGGGATCCTCGGGAGAGGAGGGTTCATCTGAGCCCATCCGAGCCCCCTGAGCCACCTCCAGCCCAGCTGGGGCTCTGGAACTGGGGTCTCTTGCTGCAGCACCACGGACTGGTGCTCAGAGGTTCCCTTGCGTGAAGGGGTGTTTCCCGTCAAGCTCTAATTCCAAACTCCTCAAAAATCAGGAGTGCTTATAGAAAGGTGGATTTAGCTGCTGTTTGCCTCCAAGTTCCCGGTCTGTTCGGGCCCCTTGGAGGGGAGGGTTCTATGCCCCATTTCCTTTGGCCGGAGCCGCCCCTGCGGCCGGTACCGGGTGAGTGGGCGGTAGGCGCGGGGCCCTCTCACGGCGGGCGGAGCGCCGGTACGGCGCCGGAGGGACGGGGACTCGGGGACAGGGACAGGAGACAGGGGCTGCCCACCGCCGGCCCTCGTTCAGGCCGGCGACCTTCAGCAGGGTGTGGATGTGAGGGCGGTGGCAGGGGCCCGGCGGTGCCGCCTGGCTCGGCGCCGCAGGGTCCTGTGGGGCCGGGCGGGGGAAGGCGCTCGGAACCTGCGGGGTCCGGTGGTAGTGCCGCAGGGTAGGGCGCAGGAGGGCAGACCCGGCCGGGTTTCTGGGGAAGCACGGAGCGAAAAAACACGGGTGAGTGGTGGGGGGCCCTTTTTTTTTATTTTTGGGCCACCCGGCAGGACAGCGCGCCGTGCCTCTGCTCTGGGGCTGTGAGCTGCCTTTCACCCTGCCGTGGTGAGCTGGGCTGGCTGGGGCGTTCACACCCTGCCTCACCTTGCAGGGACTTGCCGTGGTCCGTGCCCTCAGCCCGGGCCTGCGCTGAGGGCTCTGCGTGCTCTCTGAATCTCACTCTGCAAAGCCGCAGGCAGGAATTGTGCACAGGTCAATGCTAGGACATTGTCGTGGGCTTTACTCGTTTGAAATGGTTTTTAACTGCTGGATGTGCCAAGACATTTATGTCCTTGTGGTGCTTATTTATTAAAAATAACTATCTTACTTGTGCCAGCAGCATGTAAAAATGCAATATGCTGCTTTAACATAATATGGTGTTAAATGGAATTTCTGTTATTTAATATTTGAAAACTATTGCTCAGATAATGGTGATAGATTAGTTAAATCTAATATTTGTATGTTGTCATTGCTGCATAATGTGAACTTTAATGTCAAAATGATGAAAACTTGGGTTAGCAATGGTCATTTGAACCAAAGGAGGATATTGGTTGTGTGGTTTCATGTCTTGCAAAATGGTGCTTAGATAATTTTGTCATTTTGTAGCTCTGTTTGCTGCCTTACGCTGAAGAACACACACCCTTCTGTTTGCCTACTTCTTCCTTTTGTTGTCATCTCATTGTTGCAGGCTTTTATATCACTTCCTGCTCGGCTCTGCCTGGGACAATGGTTTTCAGTTTTTTAATGGGTCTGTGAGTTCTCTCAGTGGCTGCTGAGGGATTCTTGAAAGGTTACAAAACCAAGCCTGCAGTGGGTTATCCGGGGGCAGCTGTAGGACCCAGCAGGCAGCAATGCAAACCCTTCAGCAACGTGCAGGTTTTTTAGTCTGACAGACTTGTTCTAGCCATTGTGACAGAGGAGGGGTTCTGTGAAATGTATAGGAAAGTTTCTTCTGTTTTGTTACCCCTGAACAGTGGTTTCAGCATGGGGACAGTCCCACGGACACGAGGTTTTTCAGCCTTTTCAGTGCTTTACAGTCAGAGCAGCAGAACAGGGTTTGGTGTTAGGCAGGACCCCCCAGAGCAGAGCCAGGTCCCTCCCAGGCAGGCGAAGGACGGTGCTGGAGCTGAGCTGCGTTCAGGAGCAACCTACACGGATCACAGGGAGCCAGGGACAGCACTCGTGACAGGGCACTGTGACAGTGAAGTATTGTTCACATCGATCTCCTATCCTACACTTGGGGTTGAGACAAAGTTTAATGAATAATAAACCTACACAATTTGGGGGGGGGGTCTGGTTTCCCTGAATATTTTGAGATATTTTTGCTTTATAACAGAATGTGTGGAATTCAGCAAGATACAATTTTAAAGAGTGTTATTTTTAACCAGGAAAAATACTTGTTGTAGCACAGAATAGCACTTGATGCTGCAGCAGTTGCCATCACTTAGGAAACACAGATTTATTGATGTGAAGAAAAGCACAAACCAGTGTGTATGATGCTGTCTGGTTGGACAGTCAAACAAATTCTAACCAAAAGCATTTGTAATTTCAGAGAGTGTTATTTGCAGACTCCTCCATTCTTAGGGATCCATGCCGAGTACTTCTTCCTTAGAAGAAGAAAGATGAAAAGAGCTTTTATGCTCTCAATATTCTCTCAGTTGCTGTGTTGGGTTCTTGGGGAGGAGATCCCCAGGTGAAAACAAAGCACAAAGAAATAATGTAGCTTACCACAAAAACCTCTCCTTTTAGTTTTTTTAGAGGAGAATATTCCAAGCAGCTTCACCATCAGTTTAATGTTTCAGAATCATTCTGGTAGCAACTTATGCAGTGCTGACACAAAAGAAGGTACAGATTCTTAAAATTTTTTTTTTAATAAGCATAAATAAGTCATTAATATCTCAATTGCTGAGATAAAGATTGTATCCTCTCATCTCTTCAGTTTCTTTCCTATGAAAAAGACATTGCAGGAGTTTTTATTTGCCAAATCTGTTAATGAAAATGCCTTCCCAAATATACCAATGCATTTCAGTGAAAGGGGCCTGTGATAGTTTCTGTTTATTACAGAAGAATGAACTCATGGTTTTGCAGTCTTCTGCTATTGTCTTTAACCTTTACTTTCAGCTGGTTTGAGTTTAAGAATAGTGAGTCGTGGGTCTTCTGTGCACATGGGGAAAAACAAGCACTGTGACATTACTCGGTGTTTTCATGTTTGGCAGAGTTGGAAAACCAGCACAGAGGATGAAGAGGAACTGTATTTAATGCTACTTAAGTTAGTCTGATTTGGATTCTTGCTACCAAAATATGAGGAAAGGGTTTAGCAGGATATAAGTTCAGTCTATAGGTGTTTGAAGGGTGTTCACAGGATTTGGCCTGAGACATGGGGAGCACCCAGAGGACTGGAGTACAGCGTGCTGAGGAAACACTTCCATAGGAGGAGCAAAGCCTGTGTGAAATGTGCCTTCAGCTGGACATGGAAACTGCTGAGCTGTTTCTGAGGTACTTGGAATACTCTTAGACTGGGTGCTTATCTTGAATAGAGAGGGACAATAATATCCCTAAGAATTTTGTGAGTTATCAAAATGGAACAATTTCCAAACTCTGGCATCTCTCCCTGGATAATGAACCTACTGAGGATGCAATGGCTAGATTTTGATATTTATTTCAAAACCAAAGCATGCAATATTTCCTATGTGAAACAGGGTGGTGTTTTTTTTTTTATAAGGTACATACTGTCAGCATTAACCTTGTGCAACCTTTTTCTGCAGTGTTTTTCTCAAAAACAAGCCCAATCCTGTTGCCTTGAAAGTCTTTTATTCAGTTCTTCTACAGTTAAGCTTTACATTTCTGTTCACAGACAACTGGATGTTTTTCTCCAAAGCACACACAACTTTCACCTCAGTCAGACTGTCTGCTCCCCACCCCCATTTTGCAATGTACAATTCCCACTTGCAGCATTTTCAGTAAACATGGGATCAATTGAGTATACAGAAAAAGCTTCTATAAAATTTCCATTAAAAAAATAACAAGTTTTTATTTACAATGTGTTTTCTACTACAAAGTAATATTTCCTATTGGTTCAAATATACTATTTGCTAATGCCAGTGTTCCTATTAGGAAAGTAAAACTTTGTATATGCATTTCTCTTTATATCTTTATCAGTGTTTAAAGCACATAAAATACTACCACATTTTTTTTTACACTACTCCTAGCCATGTACAATGTGGTAGTAGAAATTAACACTATTTGATCAGGACAAAAAAAAATCAGCATAGCTTAATAGCAGACTTTCTGCAAAAATAAAACTTTAGCTTATAATTTATAGGTATTTGCAAAGAAAGAAATCTATGGAGAATTGAAAAATTAAAATGAATGGGCAACTTGGACTTTCCTGAAGTCACAGGAGTTTAATACAAGAAAAGGAAGAAAAATTTCCACCGAAGGGTTCATGTGATGCTTTGTGTTGGGAGAAGGGGAGAGCAAGATGAGTAGATTAAAAAATTATTAGAATTTCAAATCTCAAATAGTTAGCATCCTTATATTGGATTTGTCTCTTCCCACCCACCACGTTTACAAACCCTACTTTGAGTTCAGTGTTGAAGGAGGTCATAAAACAGCTTTGTCCATGACTGGCCTCATTCTTAAAAAAAAAAATAAATTAAGTTTTATTTAATTAAAAATTTAATGGACTTTCAAGTGGTTTCTCCATTTAAACATAAAAAGGAAGCATCTCTACAACTCACTTCCATGTAGAATACAGTGGATATTCAAAAGTGCTCCTGTGGGGGGGCGGAGGGACGGCCCTGCCTTTGGCGTGTTGCAGCAGCTCCGCAACAGGGGCTGAGGCACAGGAGCATTCCCTCACTGCCAGGGCACTCAGCGACTGCCAGAGCACCCCCAGTGCCAACAGACAGACTGGTGCAAAGCTCTGCCTCTACTTGCTGCTTACTCCTGATGCCGTGTAGGATATGCAAACACAGAGGCTGCTGCCTTGGTCCCGCGGCATTGTTTGCAGTCAGGGCCTGAGGAACAAGGACAAACTCATACCCGACTTCTTACAGGTTTGCTCAAAGTAGGATTAACTTTTTCACAGTAGGTGCTTGTGAGATACAGTGTCATAACATTTGCATATACTTCTCTGAAGTATTTCTCATATATACAGCCTGGCCTTTAAGACAAGGGAACGTGCCAGAAACTTGTATGCTGGGTTGTGATTCAGCTGGTGTTTTCCCGGGGAAATTCTGGGAGATCCACTTAATCCCTGCATTAGCACAACCAACTCTACTAATTGTTAAAGCTACATTAGCAATTTAACAAACCCACTAAAAAGCCTGGAGAGTGATTTTGTGGACTTCCTATTTTCTGATCAATGTTTTAACTTTTGTGGCTGTGACCTGAAAATGTCATCAGGAAGGGCTGTGGATATGGTGTTTTTCCCTCTGGCTGCCTGCCTCGTACAGGGGAGCCATTGCTGCTTCATGGACAGCACAAGAGCCAGGCAGTGCTGGGGATGGATGTCTCTGTTTCACTCAGCCTGGATAATGAGAAGAGGCTAAACTAACTCACTGTTAAAGACTCATTTTGTCTCAGAAAAAGTTTCTGCATAGATGAGTTTGATTTGCATCTCCAACTGGATGTAAATTTTACATAGCTGTATCCTACTATCCCATGGTGTCCATATATCTGAAGTGTCTGTGCCTGGAGAGTGTTGAGTACTTAAGAATGGCATTTAGAGAAGTCAGAAAGTTTAAGTAATTTCCACTAATTCTAGCCAATACAGAATACTAAGAAGAGGTGCAAGTTTGGGCTACTGGGAGGTTCCAGTATCTGCTAGGAATTATGGCCCTGAACCAGGTTAGTCTGCTTTTCTTCTCAGATAAATGAAGATGTATTTATCTGTTCCATATTGTTCCAAAGCAGGAGGCTTTTTCCTGGGATTCGGATGGTTAGATCTCGGATGTTACTTCTGCCCAAATCAGAGCAAGGGTTTTTGGTGGTCCTGCAGCTTATGTGGATGTCCTAAATGTTGGATTCTTGGGTACTGTCAAAAATATGGAAGCAGAAAGAAAACATTTTGGTTTTGGCTGCTCTCTGGGGTAGCCAGACAAGGTGGGAGTATGAAAGGTGTGAAGTGAGCGTGGAGTCTCTGAACAGCTGCGATCAACAGCCCCTGCAGTTGTTACTGTTGGGCTGTTTTAATGAGCATTCCCTCCCCTCACTGGCAGTGCCAGCTGGGTGAGCGATCCAGGGATGCCAATCAGGCAATCAGGTTGGAGGAGCTGGCAGGTTCTTCTAGATGCAGCTCTACAGTGACTTGAAAGGATGGTAATCCTTAGCAGATAGAATGAACAACTGGGACTAACATTAGTTGTGGGTATTTTCTTGGCAATATACCTGGATCCAGGGGAGCAGAGTTGCTCACAGCCTCTTAAAAACACTCACCAGACTAAATTCTAACAGCTAAATAGGAAAAAGATAATCTGATTTGTTAAGTCTAAGGAATGAGAGCTTCAGGAAGTTTTATGGTATCAGGACTGGGTTATGTGAGCACCTGCCAGCAGAAAATTAACTATTTAGAGCTGTTCACATGCTCGTGTAGGTGTGTGATGGCCACAAATTCCAAATGATTCATTGGTGTATTGCTTGTAGACATAGGTCAGGATTCAAGAAGGAGCATATTCTAAAGAACAAAACCTCCATAAACAGGTCCTTAACCTTCCCCTGTTCCCCAGTAATGCTGCCAGAGGTACTGCTGAAGCACCTTCAGCCAAGGAGGCTGAAGCAGAAGGATGTCACCTCAAAGTATGGCTAACACTAGAATTTTGTAAATCACAAATTAAAAAAGCTCATGTAGTCTTTCCCCAGCTTCATTACATCTGGCTATTTAATATACACTGATGTCCCTGAGAGATTCTTGTAATGAAAATGAGGTGCATCAGGCAGAAAATAACTTGTTTTGGTCTGTCTTCTTTGTAGCATACCCTGTGGTTACTGGCTTTGTTTTAAATGAAACCAAACCCCAAACATCTTTAGCTCACTCTTCTCAATCAGCTGCCTGGATTATTTTCAGCTGAAAAGGGCCAGTTAATTATAAAAAGGATTATTGCCCAGAGTTCAAATGTAGTTAAGTTTTATCCATGCTCTTGAATTAAAATGGTGGATGTGGTCAGAAAAAAGAGAATTTGAGATTTAAAACCTTAACTGTGGAATTCTAAATTCAAGCAGCATTTCATTTATGAACTTGAAGGTCTTAGGGCTTTTTACATAATGTTACTCCAGGCTGACGTTGATCAGCAAAAGTCCTTCTGTGGGAATTCTTTGTACTGAGCAATTTCCAGCTGCTCAAAAGGATTAGGGGTATTTACAAGCTGTAGTTTAAAAAACTAAAACCCCTTAAACAAAATGGAAACATTTCCAGTGTGGATTGTGCTGGTTTTAATGACATTAGTCATTTAAGTTATACCTTCAGTTAACTGGTATCATTTGCTTAGATACACACACTTTCTGAGATGAGGTGGATTGTTGCCAATAATTCCAGTGTTAAAATGAGAAGGACTTTAATACAATTTTAAGAACCAAAATCCACAAACATTATGTCAGATTTCCACATAACAGAAAAATGCTGTCTCCTACTCATATTTTTTCCTCTAGTTAGTGGAGCGACAAGTTTTTCTAAGTCAAATTTAGATTTCTCAAGCACCACAGAGTAAGTCCAGGAATAAAGCTGAAATTTATGTTAAACAGGAGCTGCATGACAATTGAAATGTTAACCTTTTCTTATCAGAGATATCATCTAGTACCAGTTGCTGCTTGTTTCCTATCGATGAGTGCCAGGGGTATGGCATGAGACGGGAGAGGATGATGGTAACTGAACAGAAAATGGGAAAACCAGTCTTGCTCATGACCATTTTATTCTGGGAAGTGCTGCTGGCTCTCAGGGGAGGAAGGGCCTGTGTGTTGAAGCAGCTGAGCACAACCACTGCCACGAGCTGCATGGGAGCTGTGTGGTGAGTTAATATTCTCACCCCCCTTGTTACTCACAAGTGCTCAGTGCTCAAATCAGATACAATACCTGCATTTTGTGAGGTCTTGCATTTACCTATGTTGGTTTGTGGGGTTTGTGTGTGTGTTTTGTTTCTTTTTAAAATATGTCAGCTAAGATCAACAGGAATGACTGAAAGGCTTGTCTGAGATCATACATGAGTGACTATGGCTGGATAAGGCCCAAAATTCTCCTAGTTCCCAGACTTCAGTGTAGCCACAAGACCACAGTGAAGTTGAACTTCATCCTCTACTGGAACTTGGCACAAGGAAGCCCAAGGAAAGAATTTACTTTTGAAGTCTCTTCTAAATGTTGTAACTTGTTTTGTCCTTTGTATTCAACTAGTCCAGGAAAAATAACTTTTAAAGATTTGGTTCAACTGTCTAAATGAATGTTATGTGCTCCTAGAATTTTTATATTTTATCTTTGATAGCTTGAGGTTTGCCAGAAAGCAAGCAGCTGTGCAGTCTGCTGCTTTGAAGGGCACAGACATCAATGGAAGAAAGGTATCATTTAAGATCTTCCTCCCGTAAAGCAGAAAGCACACTGACTGCTAATAAAATACATTCCATTTCTGGGCAGGAAGCCTTTTTTTCCCAGGTTCTTATAGTTCAAAGTGCTGCTCTTTAGGACCTGTTTAGTGTTTTGTTGGTTTTAGTTTTTATACAGATCTTGAGTAGGAAGTGTGAATAAAGTGTAAAGTTAAATGTGCCCCTAATGTATTGCTGAGGGATAATTATTTAGAAGATGTTTCTCTTTAAGAGTTCCTTAGGATCCTGCACAAAGGTATCTTTAATCTGCCCTCTCCAATGACAGCTGACTGACAGTGCAGTTTTTGAAAAAGCAGTGGGTTTATAAGAATAAAAGTGATTATCTGTTTAAATCATGAAGCTGCAAATTCCATAATAACATGCCTGGAGTACCTGTTCTCCCCCTGTTTCCAAAGTGAGCTGCTTAGCTCAGGTGCATTGACTCTCTCAGCAAGAATATTACTTTTTATTTGTAAAGCTTTCCTTGGTACAGAGGTAGTGCTACAGATTTGGTCAAAGTGAGGTGGTGTAAAGCCCTCAGTCTGCTCTTGCCTGTGAGCCATGAGCACAGGATAGTCTTAACAGTCTTGCCCAGAGGATGAATAACATGGTAGGCATACAGGAATTCTTTTAATTTGTGCATTTGTAACTGAGCTGTGTAAGCTAGAGAGCTCTACTTGCTCAGCCAAGAGCTGTACTTACATACTGGTGCTGCCCTAACTGTACCTCAAGTGCAGGAGTTTGAACTATCCGTGAAAAGTTTCTGGATGCTTTAGTCTTTAATGTAAACATGCAGGTGTGCTTGTCTGCTCCTCGCAGTTCTGCCTGTCAGTGCTCAGGCAGGAACAGAGGGATGAGCTGCCTCCTCTCCCAACATAGTAACATTGCTGAGACAGCTATTACATACAGTATAAAAACTGGAAAGAAGTAACACTATTTTAAACTGCATTTACCTAATTAAAAATAGTTAACTTCTAGACTAGTTAAAAGCCTGGATGTTAGAACACCACGAGAAGAGTACATCTGCAGTGTATTGTGCACTGATATTGAAGTGGGTTTTTTTTTAAAAAAAGGCCTTTATGATTGGATGTGATGTTAGCTATGGAACACACAGCCTCCTGCTGCAAGTCTTATTCAACAGTTCAGATGGGATTTGTGTTGTGTAACTTGAGCCACAGATTATTTGAAGTGGTTTGATACAATTTTCAAAGGCGCATCAAGGTGAGTGCAACAGAAGTTAATGATAAGACAGTTCTTCTGTCATACATAATCCAAGCTGACTGGAATGCAAAACATGAATTGACATATTGTTGAAATTTTATTTTTTTCCTAAGAACCTCAGCCTATGACTTTAAAAAAAGTTATGTGACTTTGAAAGCACTGCCTTGAAAACACGCTGCCTGAGAGCCTTAACATGGTGGGAGGCTTTTTTGAAAAAAATCCAACACATGCTCTAACATCAAAGGGATTATATAAAGTTAGAACAGTAAAGAAGAAGCTACACTGGATACATTGTAATCTAGAAATACAATTTTTTTTTACTTGTTTTCCTTAAAAAAGCTGGTGCAGAGAATACTGGATTTTTCCTGACTGTTTTAATAATGGCTAAGAATATTCACTTATTTATAATAAATTAGGTCTGCAGTATAAATGAACATACGAACCTTTTATACTGTTACTTTTAGAGTATCTAAAATGGATTTAAACTATTTCAAGATCACTTGCAATTTGTAGTACTTTAAGAATCTTCTATACAGCAAGTTGAACAGAAAAAAAGCAAACATTTTAGTAGCCCCTTTTCCCTATAACCATTTTCATATAAGATAGTTTTAAATAGCTTTTTTAACGCATTTGCATGTGCTCTTCCTCCCCCTTTTTCTAAAGGCAGCACAGCCAAAAGACAATGCAAGAATTGGCATTTGCTGACTGACTCCGTTTTCTTCTCCATCTGGTAAAGACAAGGGGAAGACAGAGACTTAAGTCCCAAAATGGAAAAGGTAAACTTGGGGTTTGCTTTGCCAAATCTCTGAGAACTTTGTTCTTTTCCTCGGTTTTAGCTGATAAAACCCATTTTGCTCTGTCTCTACATGTCACTCTGTGTTCAGTTACAAAAAGTTTTTCAGTTATGAATAAGTTGATTTTGAAGTGTCCATTTTGCTTCACTGAACACAGTGCAAAACAAGGCAAAAAACCAGTAAAATCCAAACAGGAACTCCCATTAAGAATATCTGAGCAGCATTTTGTATATTCCATTTTCTACTCTCCTCATTCTGGGGAGGAAGAATCCTCATCTTCATCCTCTTCATCTTCATCGTTGAAGGAGCAGGGCGTTTCCCCCCGGGACGCTGCGCTGCTGGACTGCTGACTGCTCAGGGCAATGAGCTGCCCAGTTGCTAAGGCCACTTCAGCATCCAGACACAGCCCTGCATTCTCACTATCAAAACAGAAATGGTCAAGTTTAGAGGGTTTCTCATAAAGTTTTAAGCCTTCTTTTTTGGCCTCAGCTTTTCCTTTAGTCAAAGAAATGCTGCCAACAAGGAAAAATCCAGAAGTGATACAGTGAAAACTGATAAACCATTGCAAAGTTGCATAGAAAAGATTATTGAGTCACTTTTTTTTTCCCATAAACAACTAGGAGAATTGCTCAAGCTGAAGAAATATTAAAGAAGAAGAAACCCATCAGTTTAGTCAATGCACGAAATGCAATGTGAAATGAAGCTATTAATGCTGTAATGAAGAACCTGTTCCAGAATAATCCTTATTTCCATTGTTTATGGTACAGGTAACCTCCAAGCAAAGTATGGCTGTTGAGATGTATTTTGGATTGGGTTTTTACTGGTAGTGGGTTTTTTTTTTATTTGGTTGTTTGTTTTTAATTTTAAATTATTAATAGACTTTGTGGACTAAACTTGTTTCGTGAGAGCTTAAGCAGTAGTGCATTTAGACACCAAACATTCTTTTGCATTCTGCAGAAATATTACCAGCCTTAAATCCACATGTAATTACCTATCTGTAGGCCATGCCCAGGCAGGAATTTAAGGTTAATCAAGAAAAAGGGCTCAAAGTGATTCTATTCTTAAGAAACATAGCTGGTATGTTCAAAATTCAAAGCATGTTGATTTGACCTTTCAAATATAATTATCAAGGAAGACAGAATTAGAGACTTTTTCACAATCAAAATCAACCATAATAAGAAAACATCTCAATTCATTCATGAAAGTGGTATGAAACAGGAGGTTACTGAAAGTACCACAAGGATATATAACTACCCTTGAATAAAAAATGATTTCATTTACCTTGATTTAGCATTGCAAGTGCCTCCAGCTGCCTCTAAGTGTGAAGCTACTTGTGCTGAACTTGAAAGTAACCCTTGGTTTATCCATGAAAATCCTGCAGACATATCTACAAGAAAGCATAACTGTATTTATGATAGCTATTTAAATTTTTTTCTTCCTTTTACAATCTTAAACTTTGCAGTTAGGATTCCATAGTTTAGTTTAGAAGGTACCAGTAGCTCAAGTTGGTTTTATGCTGTAGATGTGTCCTAGTTAATCAAGATGAACTTAACCCCTGTGTTTGTGGATGAACTCAAGCCTTGCATTGTTCCCCCCTCACAGTTATGCCTATTTCTCTGAAGCTTTTCCCCCTGTCTGAAGAGGATTCACCTGGCTGGCAGCCATATGGAGTCACAGGTACTGAAACAGGAGTTCTGGAGTCCTTCATGGGGACTTTCTGCTACAGACCAACCCTATGAAATGCCCCAGCAGCTCCTGCTCTGCTTGGTGAAGTTCAACTGCAACTGTATTTATTGGGCTGAGGTGCTGCAGTCGCCCAGGTGGGCTCTGTGTTGGCTGTGTGTGTTCTGGGGCCAAAGGCAGTTTCATCCTGGTGCCCTCCTGGCTGGCTGTGGTGCAGAAATGTTACCTAATCCTAATCCATCTGCCACAGACAGAGCTGGCTGTGGAAAGCACAGACCATGGCAAAGGTCTTGTGCCAAAAGTAGGGAAGAGAAAGCCTGTTGTACACTGTATGTGTGACATGTAAGGCTCTCTCCTCTCTGGGGATAGGAAGTGTTAGGGTTAAGACCATTAAAATGGTCTTGCAATAATGCTGAATTTCTTCAGGTAATTTGTTAAAAGCCCCCTGAGGGCCCTGAACAGGTAACTTACAACCCTCATAGCACTTGTTTTCAAATTCCCTAACAAGTAATGCCTGTCAGTTGTTTCCAATTACGCACATTTCTGCCAAGAGAATCAGCAAAACAAGTCCATTGACCCAATTACACTTGTGGGATTTTTTTGGGGGGGAGGTTGTTTTTAATTTGTTTCTTAGATAAGGTATTTCTATTGACCTGCCTGAATTCCACCTAAACACAAAGTTAACATCAAAACAGTTACCAAGACTGTCTAGTTCTTTTCCATGGTGCTTGCATGTGGTTCCAGCTGGATGCATTAACCAGGAGTCAGAGTCCTTACTATTAATTCTATTCCTAACGAAACGTCTGTTCTTTACAGCACAGTGGGATTGTACTGCTCATATTTATCTGGAATTGTTCTCTAAGAGCAGGTAAGAGGAATAATTAAATGTGTTTGTTACATACACGTTCTCATTTGTCCTTCTACATTCTTGTTAGGCTTTGGTTCCTTGGGATTTGGCAGTGTGCTGCCTAGGACAGGCAGACACAGCCCTGTAAAACTGGCTCACCATGTACTGGGATGGATCCACAGGCTACCTTGTGCTGTGGAAACCTGTTAGCAGCTGGGTATTAATGACATGTCACAAAGCAAGGCTAGCAAGAGTGGTGTCCCTGCCAGCAGCCCTTGGAACGTGACAGCAAACATTAATAAGTGGCAGTTTTAGGGTGATCTATGGAGGACAGAATAGATGAGGATAGTTAAATGAGGACACAGCTGGATGGCTTTCACTAAGATTGCCCTAAATGTAGGTTTGATGTTACAGAGAACATGTTCTGACAGCTTCCTCCTATCTTTGCAGGAGGAGGCTAAGCCATTTGGAATGACTGCATTGTATTTAGATTAACAGAGATGTATCACAGTGTTGTTTCCTGGTATTATGAAGGAGTGTACCTGTGTGTACATGCTTAATATTCCAGAAGAATAACAAGACACTGCTGGTAATCTTGTGGTTTATTAACATTTTTGGATAAGAGCAAGGTAAAAGAAAGTGTGGGTTTTGCACAAGGCAGAAAGGTGGTTCATAGATGCATATCCCTGCCTTGTATTTTCATTGCCTTACATTTCTAAATTCTATTTTTCAGTGGGCTCTGGGGAGCCAGGGAAAAAAGGAAGTTTGTGAAAGACAGGGAGTTGAAGCCATTTCCAGTATAGAAAAGTCTGTCAAAATAGAAATCTGCCTACAATGAAAGACTTATTTCTTCTAGCAGAGTAGCTCAATTACTAATAGCTCCACTTAGGAACCAGGGAAAGCAGCTTGGAAAAACCTTCCTGAAGTCCAGTCTAAGAGTGGCATTCTTATTATGAACTAGGCATATCTTGCAGCAGATACCCTTGGTAGAAATTTGTACTTTCCATGAGAAGGCTCTAAAGCAACACTCTGAGCAGCTTTAGTAGTTACTGTACAAGTGCTGCATAGGATTGTTGTTGATGGCTCAACAGACTCCTTCAGTCAGGGGGGTACTCTTGGCTCTGTAGTTCCAACTCCAGCCCATCTTCCAGTCAAGGCTTATTATACAGGTAAGTAGCAGAGCACTTCTTCATGCAGGGAAGAAAAAAGAAGTGTTGTAATCTAGAGGTCCTAAACTGCACCACTTTCTCTGCCCACTGCCTTAGTGGGATCCACAAAGTGGGATGCTGTTACTCCAACTGTTAGTGCCTCAGAACTTTTATTGCTTGCTTTTTTTAATCTGTAGTCTCATTTCTAGGAGTCAGGACTCAACTAACAAAGGCAGGACTTGGTTTTGCATTAACTGCCTGTAGTAGTATGTGCATGGCTCAAAAGGCACAGGATGTTACTCTGGATATGGTTCTACGAGTTCATGCTTGTCTCAGTGGTGTATTTCTGCTCATGCAGCAACCTCACTCCCTCCTTCACACTTAGCTGTTCTGGTTTGAGCCCTTGGCTGGAGAGTTCTACTGGTTTAATTGTCAGAAACTCCTCTGCCAGACAAAAAGCCTGTAGTTTAGTACCCAGAACCAGCTCAGGAAGAGCACACAGGAAAGTACCTGGCTCAGAATGAAATGGGCAGGAATGTGTAACTAGGACTGGGACCCTGGAATGCATCTTAAGCTGGTGCAAGTATCCTGTTTTAGACACTGTCAGTTAGGACAGTCAAGCAACAGAAAAGCATGTAACAAACAAATTTAAGATATACAGAATATATTACTCTGTGATGTTAATATGCCTTAGCTTTGGGTGATTTCAATGGCAGTCATACCTGGGGATCACACCAATGTAGTACTTAAAATGCATATTACAAAAGTGCAACACTTTTTTTGCTAAGACATCATGAAACTGATAGCAAACCTAGAAGACACTACTTTTAAAATTTGGGCACTTGAAGAATGGCTAAAATACATGATCCTCCTGAAAAGAAAATACACTAATAAGGTTTTGATGCACACATTATCAGTTCAGCAATTCCAAGCAATTTATTTGGCTGTTTAATGCAAATAGAAAGTTATTTCTTTTCAAAGCTGAGATGGTCCAAGGTTTTTTGTCTATTTTAAGTTTCTTTAATCTAACTGGTTTAGACTTGGATTCTTCCAACTGCTCTTTAAGTTCTACTGGCAAGCATCACAGTACAAACTATTGTTAGTGTTTGGAAGTCAGGAATTATCTGAAAAAATGACCAGGCAAAGGTCAAACTAACATTGCACAGGAAATTACTTACCTACTTAGACATATTAGAACAGGACTGGCTTCTACAGCAGCTGAGTTCATGGAGTGACTACTGTGATTGTAATAAATCTTGATCACAATAAATTTACTTGGGGAATAAATAGGAGACCTTGATTTGTTTTTCCTGTGTAGTAGTAACTGAAGCCAATCTAGTTAAAAGGGCCATCATGACAGCTGTAGAAGTAACCATGGATTCTAGAAACCAGTGTGGGCCCTTTTATTTCACTACTCCTGCAGTGTAAGAAACAATGTTTAAAGACTCCCAAGGTTAAAATGGAAAGTTACACTTAACCAAAAATAAATAAGCAAGCAAATGCTGGATTTTCAGGTACTGTGCAAAACATTTCAGTCTGTTTCCCTTATTTGTCACTTACTGCCATTAGAAACCACTACTGTGCAATTCATATCTTAGCTGTAGATTAGTGTTGTGTAATTAAGTGGCAAACAACAGACAGAAGAAGCCTTTAAAATAAATGTCCATGTGCTGGTAGCAGCACCTCTGGGTTCATTTTTTCAGAGGCTGAAACAGCTGAATGTAACCCACATCTGGATGTGACCCATTGCCTCAATGCAATTTGAGTGAAAAATAAAACCAATGCATTTCCTGTGAATTAAAGGCTCTATGGGTTCCTGGCTGCTGGTCTGCTACCAGGGAAATACTCAGTAAATAGTGTAATGACACAGGGGTTTGTGCAAATGTAAAAAACCATTCTGTTCTCTGAAGGTAAATTAACACAGGCTTAAAATTAAAAAGAAATTTTAGTTTGATCCTGGACACGTGGGAGCAATTAAGTAACTTAAGCATTGCAACACTATTAAAAAGATGTGGGTTCTACTCCTTTCCCCTCTCTTACGTTGCTGATGGTAAATAATTTTTAGTTGAAAGAATCTGCAAGGAACAAATCAAGATTTCTTTCAACTTCTCTTTTTGGTACCAGTGGTGTCTTATAAAGACTTGGAGTGTATTTTCAAAATTGATCAAAATTAAAATATGAAATCTTAGTTTTAAAATGCACAGGACAAGAGGACCAGGAAAACACAAACAAGTGTTGATAAACGTAAGCATGTTTGAAGTAGTTTGAAATGTTAAGCTATTTAAAGTGTACTAATTTTACTGAATGTAAGTGAATTTAAGTTATATCCACCAGTGTTCTGACATCACAAATTTTAAGGAATTGTTTCATTCTTAATTCTTTCACACAGTTAAATCAAGAATACAAAAACATGTGTTCAACTTCCTGACCACTTAACTATATTTCTCTTGGCAAACAAAATGGCCTTTTCTTTTTAGTATAAAGCTTGCATTTTAAAGATCTTGACATGAAGATTAAATATTGCCAACTGAAGGAAATAAATTTTAGGAAAGTTTTAAAAAAATTAAGTGAAATGTTTGAGGTTTCCAACCTTCCTGTGAAAGACACAGTTTTATACTACTGCAGTTTAAATAAGACCAGAGAAGTCAGGGCAATAGCTTTGTTCCCTTTGCTCACAAACCAAGGTCTGTACACAGGAATTCATTGGGTAACACTTCCTTTACAGATAAAGTCCCTCCAGAAACCTGAGAAAATGCTGGGCTAAGTTCAAGCTGTGGGTAGAGCAACAAGAACACACTCTGACAATAACTAAAGGAAGTGATGACAAATTTTAGCAGCTCTAGTCCAGTGATGCAACACTGAGTGAGTTCTAGGTTTGAGTCTGTTTAAGCATGACCAGTTCTAACAGGGGAGGTAAAAGCCTCTGCATGGGACTCCTGTCCCAAAGCCTTCAGAGCCTCTTGATTTATTTAGAGCTCAGTTCTCAGATGGCATCTGCTGGCACCTGAGGGATTACACTAAACCCGTTCCAGATGCTCTTTTTCTCTCCTTTTCCTCAACTTGGGAGGAGCTGCCTTCTTCCAGTTTGCTCCTCCATACATCCAGTTACTCAAAATTAATACTAATGCATGAAAATCTGTTCTTGGTATCAATTTAGTTATTTAAGAAATATTTTCTTCATAATGAAGCTCGCTTAGAAGTTTGTTGTTATAAATCAGTGTGAATTAAATTTACAGGACAACTGTGATATAGCTTCCAGAATTAACAGCAAAACAACTGGTTCATATACCAACCCTACTAGGTCCCATAAAACTTAGATTAATATAATTAAATTTGCTTCAGTTAACCAAGGTTATGGATTTGATCCGGAACAACATTTAAAAGTCCCATCTAACTTACCTGTGATATAGCCTTCTAAAGCTTTTGGCACCAGTGATTTTGCAGTTCTTAGGTCCTCAGCTGAGCACTTGCCTGCTTCGAGCCCAAAGGACATTCCCATTCTCTTCAGCACCTCACTGTCATCATGAATCTCGAAAGTGTTATCGAAATTAAAGAGGTATTCAAATCTGCATGTAAAAAATTAAAAGTGAGATGATTTTGAAAAGAGCACAGCTGTGCTTTTCTTGCTTATTCTTTGTTTTTTTGGTATGCACTGAGGTAAGTGTCTAGATTCTTCATTTTCTGTAAAGGGTCCTTAGGGAAAGAGAACTGCACCAAATGCTTTCTCTCTCCTGCCTACAGGGTTTAAAATGGCACTTTCTCAATTAAAGTAATTTCACCACTGCAGGAAGAAAGTCTAGAATTTTCAATCTCATTAAGTAGTTTCAAAGGGGAAGAGGAAGACCTTATTAACATGAACCTTCACTTGCACTAAAGCCAATAGGGTCACCTGCAGCCCTGTCACCAAAATAACTATTTTGTTTTTGCTTTGTTTTACATTTCACTTTCCGTTCTACTGTGCAACACTCCTCCTGTGAACTGACCTATTTACCTTGGTATAATTTTGCTTTTTTGGATGCAGCTAGCAAAGCAGTCTGTTCAGTCCTAAACACACCACTTCTGCTGCAGGACTCTGAAAATGTTTTTGATTGCATATAAAAGTGGAAATTGTGGTAATTGTTTCACAAACTTAAGACAGCTTTAAGGAAAGCAGGGGCATCTAGACTGGCCTTAAGCTACAATCACAGGCTATTAAAAGCCTGGACTGTGCTGCTCCAGGCATCACATCATAAGGCTGGTTCCCAGTCCTTCATTTGCTGCTGACAAGACCTTTATCCCATCCATGAGATACAATCTCTGAAAGATAACTCACTGGTGGGTCTTCCACTTGCTCTCCAAGCTCATGTCACATGCCCATTTTCTTGACAGGCTTTTTTTCCTAATATTAGCTTTCCTATACCTGGAGCCAGTAAGCTGGGAAGTGTTACAGCTCTTGTGTCTGTGCACAGAATTTTCACTTGGTGCTATAATGCTTTGTGCTGGGTGCAATTGTCAGTTCCAGGCACCGTTTCTTTTACGATTCATCCTGTATTCCTTGTAAAATCTCTTGGTTTTGCACCTGTATTCCTTCCAGCATAACCACATTAAGAGGGTAAATGTGTCACTGTACCTTGGGACTTCTTGTGCCTCATCTTTTCAATATAATTTATAACTACTTCCTTTTTATCTGAAGACTTTGCTTTTCCTACTCCAACTTCAGAAGTGCCATTCCCAGTATGCTGCTTGGCACCCATCTACCTTCTCAAACTCTAAACAAAACTTGCCCAATAACCTCTCATTTTTATTTGGGAGAAATTTCATTCTGTTTTGGCTGGATAAAGCCTGTTCTTGCATAGGAAAAAGCTTAGAGGACCCAAACTTATGTGCCTCATGATACGACATCACCCTCATATGTACGACTTTTCCAAACAATTACTTTCCTTTAGAAGATCCTCTGTAAACACAATTTTGAGTAGCTAATGCTGTGAGCTTTGCTCTTCATGGGACTTACTCACATCAATGCTTTATATAAATGTTAGTTGGAGAAGAAAGAAAAATGAAAGCCCTTTAAAGAGTGGGCTGTGGGGACTGGAACCAAGTGCAGGGCAAGCACTCAAGCTGACCAGTAATGGAGTTAAGCAGCACAAATACTCTCCAATAAACTACAGGATGTGAATTCTCCAAACTGAGTGCCCACTTTTGCTAACTGCCTTATTAAACAGATCAAGGTAACAGTGCTTAAAACAGAGCAGATTCTGGCACTGTTTATCTACATATTGCTGCTGCCACTAATCAGTTGCACAAATAATAACCACAGTGGAAAGCTTGTTTAATTTGGGTGGTACACTCCATGACCTCCAGATGACAGTAATACCAAAGCAGGTTATATAAACTGAAGTATTGACAACTTAAATAATTTTGGTGTGCTCACTTTTAGTAGCAGCATTTTCATACAGTTGGAGGCTGTTACATGTGTGCTACACTGCCCTAGATCCCAGATGCCAGTTTAACCTCTGACAACTTCAAAGCAACAGTTCTGAAGTTTCAGTATGGAATTGTTCAACTTCTTAACAACTTCAAAGCTCAATATAGAGCCCTGTTCAAAAGAACTATATAGTGTGACTATAAAATAAGGGCATAATTATGCTAAACCAAAATTGATCCTAAAATTCCCAGCTTGGTGAATTGCAGTGCTGATGGGAGTATTCCAAAAGTTTTGTCACAGAATGTATTGGACTTCAGTCCAATTTTCTACAAAAATTCAACTTTTAATAGTATTGCTGTTTTGCATGTTGGTGCTTAGGTTACTAGAGCCTGTCTATTTTTGCTGCCTGACACAGTTCAGTCCAGGATTTGCACACCAAGAGTGAAATCTGTAATCTACAGTATTAAAGCAAAGCCAGCTATTCTCAGCTGATAAACTATTGTGATCCGATTACCTGTTAAAGTAACAGCACCTCACACTTCAGCCATATTTTCACAGGACGAAGAGCACCAGAATTATGTAGCTGGAATATTTTCAAATTAATATAAATGCAACTATAGCAGTTTGCATACAAAGACAGTCTTTCAAATTTCTATGTAATTTCCTTCAAAGAACTAAGTGCTCCTTTTTTGGTGCTAAAAGACACTTTCAAAGTTGTTATCATCACCTCCAGGATGTTACTTTTGTGTCACATGGATCACCTTTGTTTCTGACTGTGTACAGTTTTCTGGTATATGAAGAGTAAATATTCAGAAGCAGTACCATGGCTTCATGAAAAGGTGATGCTGTCCTGGTATACAGTTTCATTTGGTTATTTCTTCTGTGCAGTGGATGCTCTTTGAAATGTCAGCCTGAAGTGCCTTTCACAAAGTGACAGTTGACCTTTCTTAACTTGTAAAGCAGTGTTGATAAACTCATTCCTATTACTCCTGCAGTTGCATTAAATATTAAAAAACCCAAACCAAAACAACAAGCAACCCCATGGAGTGACAGTTGCAAATGTAAAATATAATAATTACTTTTAGTAAGCTAGAAAAATTTCCCTTGTTTGTTTTAAGAAAAATTCCAGTCTGTAAAGAAAATAAAATTGTAAAAATTGATTCCATAAACACTCACTTGTCACTTGATATGCTGCAGTCTATAATTGTTCTTTTGCTAGTGTTGACTATTAAGAAGGGCAGCTGTATTGTGGAGTTCAAAGATGGAGGGCCTTGATTTTGCTGTTCATTTTGCTGATTTCTTTGTACCAAGTTTTTAAATGCTATTTGCTGTAAAAAAAAAAAAAGATCACTGACAATAAAAGAGCAGACATCAGTGTTTCCAAGAAATGAAATGTCATAGGTCTTATTTACCAACTCTCAATACCTTATTTTGTCAAAAAGTAAGTTGTGGCCTGATTTTCTCTTTGCACAGTGAAGTTCACCAGGAACAGAAGTTAAAGGCAAATTTCTCACACATATCCTAATGACTATGTCCCACTCACACTCCCTGGAGAAGAAACAATAAAGGAGCACTAAAGCTTCCCCATTCCTTTGGAAAGGGCACTGGAGTCCGAGGTCTTCTCTGGTACTTTTTAAGCATTATTACCTCAGACTAGGAGCTCGTTACACTGAAACAAAAGTTAACAAAAATCCCCCCTCTTCCCATGATCTGTATTCTCTTTCCCCTCTCTTTTATCACCCACTTCTCTCTCTAAAGAACTAGTTTTGAAATTCTTCTCTGGAAGTTATTAAACAGGTGCTGTTTTTGACACCACTCACTGTCTACTGATTTCTTATATCAGACTGCATCTGTATGAAAAAGTGTGGGTTTAGGAAATGTACTTTCATTTATAGAAAAAAAATTAAATATACCTGCAGCAGCAGTTCTTGCAGTTGGGCTCGCTTCTGTTTTATCCTTTCAATCCGCTTCTGTTTCTCTATCTTAAAAGATAAATGTAAATGCATCAAGATATTTCCTTAGTTACCTCATCTGTTCCACTCTGCAAACTGAAAGGCTTTCTTTGAAAACGGGGGGAATTGCCTGCTCATATGAGTTTCTCCAGTAAACAGGTCTGTCAAACGGTAATTTCTTTCTTTGTCAACAATTTTAACTCCAGTAAGGAATTAATTATTACAAGAGACTATTATCTCCCCACCCATTGCTCTTCTGTACTGTGAACTGAGAGCCAATTAGCACCAAATCAAACACTTGCTCGAGGGGGTGCTTTGGGGGGGGTGCTTTGGGGTTTGTGGTTTTTATTTTCGGGGTTTTTTTTCCTTCTGCCCTCCACTCTTTGGCAGTTGTGCACGTCCCACTGTTCTAACTGCAACCTACTAGACATAAATGTTTGGAGGCTGGGCTCAGGATCATCACCTCCACCTTTCCACTGACCTCTTTTTGTTTGAGACTCAATTAAACTCACAAGATTGCAGCAACAAATCTCGTGATTACCTCTACCCCAAAAAGGGGGTAGAGGTAACATTTTCTGTATGAGCACAGAATCCTTCTCTTGCAAGAGTTTTGTTAATGGCAGAATACGAGAGAACTGGACAAGTGTCATCATGGTTACAAGGGGTTCTTCCTCATCCTGTTGGTGCCAGCACTGTATCATTGCTCCCCAAAATATTAAACCCTTAAATTACCTCTTCATTCAACCACTGAAAATAAATGATGCAGTCTTTTAAAACTCAGCTGGCCCAACCCCCCCGTTCTATTTATGGTGTTGCTCTGTGGTGGTTCCCTCCTCACACACTTCAATGTTTAAAATGCTTCCTACAGAGCACAATAAATGACTTTTTTTCTGGGATTCTTAAAACCAATAAACAGTGCAGATATCATTTAGGCATGGTTTCTATATAACAATTTTTTTGTACTGGTAATCTTATTAGGATTTACACTGTAAGAAGAGTTGGCAACTTGTACAGCTTTAAAAGCAAAATTAATTCTGATTTTCACACCATAAAAATGTAGCTGTATTTTACATTCTCTTCTATTATGTCAGAGGAAGTAATGTTTTTAAAAAAAATATGCCTGGCTTCCATTTTGTGCATATGTAATTAGAGCCTGAAACAGTGAATCACATATGATCATTGAAGATAACACAAGTTCTATATTTGTAACAATAACCTATATTGAAGAGAATGCATTCACATGAATGTATGCAAAGGGTAAATTTACCCATAATTTAAAGAACCCACCCTGGAGTATAATTACTGAGCACATGCATTCTACTTGGGGAAGTGTATTTGCCAAGTGCTGTAATGGACAAGAACAGTAAAAGCTTTTCTATTACCACACCCAGAAAGACAATTGATGTAAATGACTGCACAAAAAGAGCTGTTCTGTACTGGAAAGGCACCACCCACCTCGTAAGATACCTACTGCACAAACATCACAAAGCTAGTAAATATTAAGATGTATTTGCAAACAGCCATTACAGCTCGCTGCAGTAAATACAGTGACTTGTGGTTTTATTTATAGCACATTTGGCCTGAAGGACAAGCAACATTTGTGCATATAAATTCTGGCATCCCTGCAAAAAACCACTGTAACTCTTAGCCTGCTGGAAAAATAATGGAAATAACTGATAAGTTAAACTTCTTTTTTGTTTTTCTGGCAGTTCATAACTAGTATTTGACACCCTAGCAGGAATTACTTTTCAATTTAATTTCCTTTGAATCATATTTCCAAGTACAGACATTAATAGAGAATTGGACTTCTATTCTTTTGACTTTCTTCTGGTTAATTCAAGCTATTACACCACTGTCCATTTTTGTTAGGTAAACAGCTTGGGGTTTAAAAAAACTTTATGTAACATATACTAAATAAACAAAGCTGAACTAAGCTTATCAAACATATCCTTTCAGTTTATTCCAATATCAAAAGTTGTATTTTCATAGTGTGCAAGAATCAGTTCCAAACTGAGAAAAAAACCCTCTTGTAAAGAAGAGCAACTCCATTATCACAACCTGGGAACTAAACAGAATTTCCCATGTACCTCCCCTTACCTCTAGATTCTGACATTCCTGAGCTGAGTTTGTAGGAAGGCCAATCCACCTGATTTCCTTCTTCTCCTTTGAAATGATGTTCATTGCCATCAGGACGTTGAGGGCGTCGTAAACTCTCCGTCTAATATTTTTCTGATCATAAGCCTGCTAAGAGAACAATTCAGCATTAATTACAGTGAAAGAATTAAAAAAGGAAAGACAATTGAGCACATCCTAGATATCTAGAAGATAAAATGCCAAAATAGCAGTTCAAGTCAGAGTGCTATTAAAATATGGTCCTTCACCTGTGCTACTCCTTGGATACCACATGAGCATGTCTGGCTACAGATGGAAGCTTCAGGCCTGCTGGAAGCATCTGTGCAGGAAATTCCCACCATGGCAGGTCTGTCACTATTGAAAAGCCAGACAAGACCACACATGGTGGGTGCAAGAGTAGCCTTTTCTTAAAGTTAATTATTTTGGCGGACTTGTCTACTTTGTTTATAATTTAGAGGGAGTTCAATCCTTCATTTTAATTCTCTGTTTTTGAATTCCTGAGGAGAAGTCTTTATATTTGAGAAGTAGTTAAGTAAGTGAAGGAAAGCATGGACTGTGGCAGGATAGTGCAGAACCAGAAGGAACAGAACCCCATGATAAACAAGACAAATCTGTAATGGTGTAACAGTTTCACCCCCTCTTCACTTACCGAGTCTGCAGCCAAGTGGCTGTTGGAATTTGTGAACTCTGACACCAGCTCATCGGCCACTTCGTTGTACGAAGTTGTTCCTTTACGTTGAACTTTTTCGCAGACTTTCATTGAAAAATGCCTCAGACCCTTCCCATTTTTATCTCCTTTTTTGCTTCTCTTACTGGAAAGAGAAAAATATTATTTTAATACATTGAATGTTAATAAGCTACTGTGTTACACAGTAAAGGGTCTACCTTTTTTGCAACAGGAATCTGGGCCATTTAAATTAAAACCAAAACTGTTCTGCATTTTAGCATCAGTTTCTTGTTTCTTACAAGTTGGCAAAAAAGTGCACTGGAGCCCTTTCCCTTTCCTTGGCTATTTCTACATGGGTTGTATTTGAACACATGCTGCGAGAAGATGCTTAAAAATAGATTTGGAATTCATCTCCAGGTAGTTTCACAAAAGAACAACCAAAAAAATCTCACAGGGTGTTTATGTGCCTGGAACCCAGATTTATGGGGATCTCTCACGTGTGTGCCTAAAATAGAAAGGCTCAGACACCCCTATTTAAATATTTAAAATACAGCAAGAGATACTAAACTTGCCCATCAGGGGAATTAAACTATGTGCCATCATAGTTAAGACAGAGGTACAAGAATTTCTTTAGTGGAGAACAAGTACATATTCATTGAGTTTTATGGTGCCAAATTAACAACTGGCAACTGTCAGGGTTATTTTCCATTCACCTTCTTCTTCCAGAAAAGCAAGAGCTTAGCTAATAGTAATAGAAAAAAACAGGAGCAGTTGGTTTTCTCACACAAACTAGATTTGGATGTGGATTACAACAGAAGCCTTTAAAAAGTTCAGTTCTGTTGTTTTTGGGTTTGGGGTTTTTTTTAATTACAGTCTGAAAAGTTCATTTGATAATATGTTTCAGGGAGATCTGTTATTTTACAGAAAAAGGCCTAGTTCTGCCAGCAGTAACAAGCTAAGGAAAATATTAAAATATTAACGTAAAAGAATGGGTTTCAAAATTTTGAACATAATTAAGAAAACAGAACACAGAAGAAAAAAAAAGAATAGGAACACCAGAAGATTAAAAAAAACCCCAACACTTCCAATCCCTACATAGATATTCAATTTGATCAACCTCAACAGGTAAACAAATAAAACCACCTTGAATGCTTTCAAAAAAAGTTTCAGAAGCAAAGGAAAAGATCATTTGTTTGCAAGTATTTGTCACATGGAAAACTAGAACAATCTTGTTTCTGAAAATCTGTTTTTCACAACTCCTGGTATCATCTGTAACAGCAAAGTTATTTATCAGGAAGTGATAAAGCTAAAAGGAATGAATTATAACTACAAGGAATAAGATCCACACAGCTTTTATGTGAAGGAGTGAAAACTGAAAGTGGGAACTGGACACCCATCTCTCTGAAGGGCAGACCTGGAGTAAAACAGGTATGACTGTGCTCATAAAATACATGTTCAGCAATACTCACCTTTCTGAAAAATCTGACTCTATAATTTCTTGAGTCCGTTTTCGCTCCCTAAGAAAAGACAATTCAAACTTAAGATGAAAATAACATCATATCTACAGACCACTAAAATCACAGTATGCAGGGCCTTGCTGGATCTGGTGTTTGCTGTTACATGTTTCCCAAAAGGGAAAAATCTGACACACAGAGATTGACAAAATCTGAGAGAAGGTGGTTAGGGCTTTTGGAGGAGGTTGTTGGAGCTCACTGCCAGACAAGTTCTATTCCCAATTTTACCATGCTTTGCCCATATAAATTTAGGTAAGTCACTTCACCTGGAACTACAGAAGTGCTGATGTGAGCTAGATAACCAAAGGCCATCAAAAAGGAGAAGTTGGGCTCCTTTGAAAATTCCTATTTAAAATTCCTCCATGTGGAACAAAAATGTCTTTAAACAGTGCCTAACATATATCCTGTATTTTCAGGCCATTGAATGTTCTGAAATCTTTAAACAAAAACCAAGGTAAACCACTAAACATGTTCATATTAGGGCTGATGCAGACAGAGCTGAAGAGAGAGGCTCTGAGGAAGCAGCTGGTGTGAATTTTGCACAGGACGAGCAGTTTGCAGTCACTGGTGGTTCTTTATCGTCCCATTTACACCCACAGCAAACAGGAGCTGTGTCCCAGACTCGCATTTATTCCAGCAGCTCACACAAGGTACATTGCCTGAGAGTTGGGAAGTTACATTCCATTGTTTCTCTGTGTTTCCAAAGCAGGCTCACAGCGCAGACTCACAGCTGGAGACCTGACACTGCTGTGAGGGACACTGAACAGGAACGATGGATTTGAAGCCCTGTGCCTTGAAAGCCAGCACGTACTTGGTTTGCAGTGCAGAGCACAGGAGGCCTCTCCCTGGGCAGCAGCAGTGGGATTTCTGCCTCGGTGACCCCTGTCCATGGTGCTTAACTGGGGGCTGCAGCTGGGGCGGGGGCTGCAGCACTTCCCTGGGCAGGGCCCTGCAGCAGAGCGAGAGAAGAGCTGGCCCCTGGTCTGTGCACCAGGCTGCTGGGGGCTGTGTGGAGCCCTGAGAATGAATATGCTCATCCCATTTGATTTTGGAAATAATTTGGAATCCGTGGAGTAAACGATGGGTAAAGCACGTAGGCTGGACTTGCAGTCTTGTGGAAGTGTCTTCAGCAAGGGCTCACTGCCTCCATTCAGCAACACCACAGACCCTTCCTCACCTCTGTTCCTCAGATGAAAACATGACCCGTGGTATGGACTGCTGCACAGATCAGTATTAACTGGTCTGCCTGGAGTTATCTTGCTCAAATGGCTGAGACAGGAGTCAGGCTCTTCGGAAATCCCGTGTCTCGACTCTGACAGTCAACAAACAAAAGGATGGTTCTTCTCCTTGGTGGTGGAGGTTGATGCTCTGCAACGAGGCTGCTCTGGGAACCCCCATCACTGGGTTTGGATGAAGCTTAGGAAAGCAATGGGTGTTGATTCTCTGGTTTAGCAAGTTGCTGTGACAAGTAGAGCTTGTCCCTCCTCTGGGTACTGAAAGAACATCTGCCTGGCCTCCACATTTCACAAAATGTGGAGAAACAAAGTAATCTTTGAGAACTCCTTTTTCAAATAAAATCAGAACTGAGTGCATTCAAAAAGTATTTCAGGAAATGAACAAAAAGTCAGCAAAAAAATAAAGCTTAAAAACTGCTCAGCTGGGCCTGCAGTTTATCAACTCTGTGGTGGGAATACAGTGACGGGGAAGTACAGGTCTATGACAGTCCTTGCTTACAGAGTTGTTGTTTCTTAGATGCTCCATTTCTCATGTCTAAAGCTGAAAAGGTACTACTGACATTCATCACTGATTAGAAAAATTAACCTAGATGCAGAAATAAATTATTTTTTCAGAGGCAAAGCTCTACATCTTTATTTTGAGACATCTAAGCTCAGCAGCACTGGTATTAAAACAAAATACCAAGAAATACTGTAAAGACCAGATTTAATTAGAAGAGATAAAGAATGTCATGTTACTCTGGAGTACCTCAGAACCCATGAAACTTGTTGCTAATGTAAAATAGTAATAAAAATACCACACTGATTACATTCAAAATTTTCCATTAGAGTTTATTCTTAATTGCCTCTTGAAGTGTTTTTGACAGTCTCTCCCCCTGTAGGTACCCACTGCTATGCTCAACAGCAGCACTACTTGAATAAACCATGAATTCATGAAAAAAATAAAAGCTTGTTATAACAGGACTCGTGAATTTGCAACTCCATTTTCACAAAGAAACAGACACTGCCACAAACCACAATTTAAGCAGACAGTGAAGTGACCAGTGCTTGTAGCTCGTGTTCACATGCTTCAGACATCAGAAGTGCATATGAGGCTAGACAGCACACTCCATATTCCTTTTAGCTGTGCAAGAACTAGAAACTGTAAGCCAACACACAGATACAACAGTATAAATAACAGAAAAGATCAGAACAGGCCCTCAGACATCTTTAAATAAGGTAAAAGTCTTACCCTGGGACCCAGCCAGAAGCTTCTGTTATGTGTGTCTGTGTGACCATTGTTGGAGGTGGGTTATACGGACTCCCAATCAGAACACTCCCTGAATTGGTCAGTCTTTGTGGTGTGCTTATGATCTGTAAAATTTAGGAATAAAAACCACTGTTGTCTTAAGAAAAGAGAGGTTACCACAGCCCCAAATACTAAGCATTGCACTAAGAAAAGCAGTAATAATTCTGTACCAGAAGCAAGCTGCAGTCAAAATATACAGAAGAGATGTCATCAGAAGATCTTCATACAGTAAAGTAATTACAACACTGTTAAGTTTTCTAATTGTACCATATTACTGTATTATTCATATGGTCAAGAACTACACAAATAGAAGTAATTCCTAGGTATGGCAGGTAGGAGCTGTACCTATAGACACCCAGCTGTTTCTCCACGAGTACATCCAGGTAATGTTTTGATCCCTGTAATCAATAAAACCTTCTCTCTTTCCAATGGATTTGTCTCTTGTAATTGTCTTTGGTACCAAACACAAACCAAGCTCCAGGCAAAGTGTTCCCTGCAGTTTCCAGCACTCACAAGATCCCAAGGCATTCTGGCAAGCTAATAATACAGCACTGTACCTATGGAATTCAACATAAAGTCTGTACTGTAGATAGAATTTACATTTACACAAACCTGGTGAAATTGTAGGTACAGTGGTTAACACTAAGACACCTGGTCTTAACTTCTAAATTACATCCAAGTTCACTCTTCAAAGTAGGTCACCAGAAGAATTTAGATAGTATTTATAGATCAAACAGCATTAATTACTTAATCTTTAAAATAAAACACATTTAATTACTTTGATTCCAGTATGATAAGATTCATACCAAGGTTTCTTGGACAGTCCTTTTTACTCATATACCTTATTTCACTTTTTAAAACTTTATTTTACTTTACTCCATTTGTTAAGTAACATGTTTAGTACTGACTGTACTAAACATTGTAGTTTCATTTACTATTTAACTTATCCAACAACCTTGTAAGTATACAGCATATATACATAGCAAGTGTGTATATATACATAGCAAGTGTGTATATATACAGCAAATGTGTGTGTATATATACACACATATGCAACAAATAAGTATACAGAATTTGTTTGGTATCCATCAATACTGTTTAAACAAGCAGAAATAAATGATATGTGAAGAATCTGCCATTTCCTTAGCTCATTGTTACTGCACATCCCTCCTGACACCACACCATCATAACACATATGTATTTTTTGTCTTAAAGACATAAATTCATCTCAGTTATTTTTTGTAAACGGACAGCTCGACAGAACCAAGTGAAAACAGAAATTCAGAGAAACCGAAGCAGTGGTACGAGTGCTGTATTTCCTGGTGGATCCCGGAGCACCAGAGATGCCCGCCCGGCTGTGTTTGTTACCCGCCGTGACCCCGCGGTCCGTGTCGGGGCCGCTCCCGCCCGGCCCGCAGTGCCACCTGGCGGCCCTGGGGACAGCACTAACACTTCATCAGTAACACTTACGGTGTTAAACTTACACCTACGGACTGAATATAAAGATTCAGTCTTAGTACGACCAAACAGTCGCACCCAAGAACCCAGCCAGCAAACAGTGCCCTCTCCACCACTGGCACAGCCATAGCCCGGGGGACTCAGACCAGTGGTCACCGTTCAGCCACCGCACTGATCGCGGGGGCTGTGCTGGTTTGAAGGACCTGGAGCAGTGGTTAAACAAAGCCAACAGCCCCTCCCAGAGCAGGGTGTTGCTGCCACAGGTGGGAGGCCGAGGCAGCGCTAACACTGGCACTGCTGAGAGCTTCTGGGCATTCTCCTTCCAATGGCCTGGCATAACACAGCTGTACCCTGGGTGTCCTAGAAGGCCTGCTTTAATGGCTACTAATAAGAAAATGTTTTCTGAATATAGATCTATCCTTGCAAACCAGCAGAATAAAAGAATGAAAAAATGAAAAGAAAAAAAGAATAAAAATTGTGTGTCTCACACCAGGTAGTGGCTTTTGCAACTTCTATCTGCTATAGAACTTAAACTGCAACTAGGGCTCACTTAAACCAAAAGCAGGGCCTTGAGAAGTCACCTGTAAGAGTAGGAACTGCATTAACAGACTGCTCTGCCCTGGTCTGGGCTATTTATTGCACTCACAAAACATCTTCTGTGGCAGAACTATTCCAGTGCAATGCTACATGGCACACAAGCTCCACGAGACGTGCATCAGCACTGACACACTGAGCAGGGCTGTTCCAGGGCTGTTCCAGGGCTGTTCCAGGTCCATTCCAGGGCTGCTCCCTGGCAGCCTGTGCCCAGTGCTCCAGATGGAGAGCTCCACACAGCAGGGAATGCTGGGAGGGGGGGTGGCTGTAATGTGTGTGCCCCTTTGGTGTACTGCTGTCCTTTGGTGCAACCCACTAAAGAACAGTAGTAATGCTGACAGGAAAAAGGCCCAACACAATTATTTATAAAACATACCAAATGCTTCTGTACTCAGGCTAAGGGCTTGGCAGGTGGGCATCAGGTCACTAGAAACTGTTCACGTTTCTAGGTATTGCTTTTTTAAGCTCTCTGGCCACCAGAAAACCTAAATTTTTTTTTAAACTAGATCCAAAATCCCTGAAATGTCAACATATGCCCATATACCGTTGTCACTGACAGGAAAAGAAGAGTAGTTTCAACAAGTTAAATCTCTCGTGGCACATCCGAGGCACTCTCTGGCAATGCTGGAGAGTATCAATAACATTCTTAATGAGATTTTTTTTTTTTTCCTTAATACACTTTTGTTAAAATGTCATCTGACAAAGCTGTTTTAATTTCCACTCAAAGCCAGGCAAATGGGTGTCTCCCCAGGGCAAACACAGGAGCGTTGTTGGGAGTGGCAATTTTGGGATGCTGAGCCTGCTGTGCCCCCACGTCCCCCCCCTCCCACCCAGGTGGGGCACTTTGTGGCTGGGGCAGGAAGCAGCAAGTTCCTCACACAGTTCACATCTTTGTTTTTCGTGTTTCTACGTTACACCAACAGGAAGTCACACAGGCAGTTACACAAGTTGGCATTACCAGGGTTGCAACACTTACCATTTGGGGTCCAACATTCACATTGATTGGTCCTAAGGTTTTTGGCAAAATCTTAGTCGGAGAGTTGGTGCTGGAAACTGGCAATGTAATTACTGAAATATTACCTAAAGAGAGTGGTAAAAAGAGAGGTTTAAATTACTGCCTTAGTAACCTGTGAAAACCACTTTGGCAAATTCTCACACCGCTTCAACGTTCTGGAACCAGATTAGTTTTCTTGCCTCATTCACTGCAAACACACCCTCATGTAACAGCCTCCAGACCTTTCAGCAGATGTCACAAGGACACCTCACCAAACTACACCTTCACTATTTTACCTTTAAAATTAAACGTATTTTATTTCCAGAAACAATTTATTTATTGTTGCCTAAGACGAAGAGCACACAGCCTGCAATACCTCAGCATTAGAAGTTAAAATTAATGAGAATACTTCAACAAGAAGCCAGCATACAAATCCTATTTATAATCATAAGCATGTGTAGAAAATATGCATCCATAAACCTTCCTAGCCTTAACCATCCCTCATCCACCTATACTAGAGTGTTCTGTAAACACCACTGCAGTGAGCAAATCACAGCCTGCCACTGTACAGATGGAGTAAGTGATGCCTTTACAACTTACCCAAAGTAGCAGAGCAGGCAGCTGGATGCCAAGATAAAGCCAACCACGCCACCATGTTCTCATCCCAAGATGTTTATCATCTTTGTGATCCCAGACTGCTTCCGGATCTAACCCATCCTGCCTTCACACAGTTCAACGCTGAGAGCCTCAAAATACTGCTGCTCCTCCCCTATCCCAAATCACATCCTGTATATTGATTATTTGGACTGAATGTTTTAATCAAAATGGTCATTGCAGCACTGCTGTGTATTACAGCCCAGGAGTGCTCCAACTGCTGTGCACAAGCCATTCCAAGCAGTGAGATCACTGGCTTATCCATGGACATTGTGGCAGCAGCAGCAGCTTTCTCTGGGACATCTTCAAAGCAAGGGAGTTGGGAATCGATCAAACACCAGCCCCCATTTGTACACACAGCCCTGCTCAAAAGGGGCAGGGACAGTGGGGGTCTGCAGGCACAACCAAATGTAAGGAAGAGCTGCCACTGCCTCGTAATCCAGAGTCAGCCTGAGTCTAGCTGAGCTCTTGAGTCACAAGGACAAGGACTGGCTCCTGGAGAACTCCTTACACTCTGGCACTGCAGACAGCAACTGAGGGCATCTGAGGCTTCAGGTTCCTTCAGCACAGCACAGACACCAGCCCTCCTCCCACAGGAGGCAGCCAGCACTCAGCTCAGCCCACATGGGCCCAAGCTGATATTAGACATCCCTGGTCTTTTCTCACATCACCAGTTCACCTCCACTGCCCACTTTTCTCTTCTCACTTGGTCCTGAATCATGGTCTCTCTTTTACAAGTTATGCTAGCACACCTATGTTCTGCCATGGGGTAACTGAAAAATCATACATTCAATAATGTAATTTCTCTGCAATAGCAAGCAGGAGCAACACAATTGATAGAAAAAGATTTTATCTTCTGTAGTTACAGCACAGAAGTAGAAAAGATGTAGACATATGCAAAGTCTCTCCTTTATAAAAAAAAAATCAGAGATATGAGAAATACATACAATTTGAGGCAAGGATGTTTTCTTGTTCTGTGTAAATTTTCCAAAAGGCAGATCTGTATCTGAAAACATCTTCAGAAACTGCTTGTTTCTCTAGTCAACAAAATGAATAAATTATTCAGTCACCTCACTCACCTAGAAAAACAAACTTACAACCACACCATCCCAAACTCACCCCCCCAGGAAATCCTTGCTCTATTATGAAACATCTTTTGTGAGGTAGTGTCAGAGTGCACAAAACAGCAATTCATGATTTACATACACTGTGTTCCCATTCTGAGCTCAAAATAGTTCTCCTACTTGTCAGTTTTACTTTTTCAGGAGGATTTTGCCTGGGATTTCCCAAGTTGTGCCAGCATATTCTCATCAAAATCCAGTCTCCCCCCTCACTGCGGGTTGTTGCAATCAATGATGTGTCACTTCCCAGTACTGCTGCAGGAATTTTCCTCTTTTCTGCTGCAGCTCAAACTTTTGACCCTGTTATCTCCAAGATCAGCTCTCATATTATTTGTTCTTGTCCCTCTTCTTACCAGGGAAAAGAAATAAATTACTTTCTCTGGTGCCGACAGCATAAGGTCACATGGCAAAGTGCAGTAAAATTCTGAGATGTCGGGTTTGGCTTCCAGCTCTACCACAGGGCTCCACCACAGAGCTGCCTCCAACAACACTTGGTGCCCTGCAAGAGACACTGGAATGTCATGTTTCACAGAATAAGAGTGAGGTGTGTCAGACTTACAGACTATGCAGTCAGCACAGCAGCTCAATTAGTAGCCACTGCTGCGCTGCGCCTTCCTTTACAGGGCTCTGCAGATAAATGTACATGGTCACCACTAGGGCAACTTCAGGATACACCAGGGTCATTCAAATTACTTGATCTTGATTTTAAAAAGACAGCAGTTTACATATGGCGTGTGTTTAAATGTCTTTTTGGCTGAAGTTGCTGTCAATAAAAAAGATTTTCATCTTCTAATCCCTACACAAATCCCCCATTTGGCAGCAGCACTGTCAAAGTCATCTTAAGAGTTGATCGAGCGCTCAAAGAAATGTTTCCCTGCCTTTGTTCTTCCTTTTAAATTTCTCCATGGGTAAATATAAATATGTGAATGTGTAGATTTTTAAATGCAGATAGGATAGAAAGGGACCAGTTTCTTTTAATGAGTGAGGTCTCTTTCATCCACTGTGGACAGAAAGAAAGAACAACCAAATTTTACAGTTTTACAACAGTAAGAGGTTGTTCTAAGTGTCTGTCAGCAGCTGAAAAATAAGTAAACAAAGCTTTATCACTTACTAATAAAATATTCCCTCCCTATTGTTTTCTTTTTCTCAAACATAGCATTATGGTCCACATACTCATGTAACCTCAAATGCTACAAATATTTAACAAATACTCTTGGTGGAAACGCCACCTCTCCATGTCCCTTCACAGCAAACAGGACAGCTGGTTCACGTTGTTGCTCCAAGAAGTTAATGTGTTTCCAAACAGATCAGCACCCCAGGCTGAAGGGACAGATCTTGCAGACCAGATCACCAGAGTCACTGCTCTTCTCTAAAAGAGAAATGCAGCTTCCAAGAGCACCCTGCCCTGCCCACAGCCCTTGCACAGCAGCAGCCCAGGAACCACTGCCAGACCTGGAGTTGGCCAGGACCAGTCTCAGAGCAGAAAAAGCATCACCATAAGGTGAGAACTGCTAACACAAGTACAACCAGCTGAGGGAACAGGCACTTGCTTGCTAAGATGACTTGCTGTATTTTACACCAAGTTCTTGAGATTAGGGTACCTGTGTTTGCTGAGGAGTTGGTAATTTCTAAAGTTTTGAAGGCAAAGTACTATTATAGAACAGCAAACACCAACAAGAGCAATCTCTTGAAGTCTTATTTACGAAACAGCACAGAAAAAAGTAGGAGGAAGTAGATGCCACAAAACATTCAACAGATTTCTGTATTCAACTGAAAGCAGAAACATGGTCAAAGTAACTATATATATATTATCACAAAGCAACCGTAAAGGCTTTAAACATGACCAAATTCTAAATAAATGCCAAGTCTTAATAACACCCATCATTGGGGGACAAAAAAGATTACACTGATTTATGTCCCATGGCACAACAGCAGTGAGTACAGTGATAAGCTGAACACAATGAGACCCATCAGCCTCCGAGTCACGGTAATCTCACTGCGTGGATGAAAAAGGTCAGCTCAGATGGATCAAACTAGAATGATTTGTATAATAATACTCAATTCTTATATAATGTTTCTCAGCAGCACTTTCAAGGCACAAAGGAGGTCAGTGTCATTATTCCCATTTACCTATGGAAACCCAAGCACATGGGAAAGAAACAGACTTAAAACTCTCATCGAGGAGCTTCGACTGCAATGCACATAAAGCCACCCCAAACTGAGCCTGCTCCTCACTGATGCAAACTCAAAATAAAAATCTGCCAGTGCACGTAAGTATGTTGCTCTCAGAACAAAAGCACTTTGCTTCTGCATAAATTATTTTTCCATCCCTCAGTCACCACTATTGCTGTTTCTCATGGAGAGAAATCAGTGTTGCTATAATTTCATATTTTAAAAAAACATCATCACTACATAATTATTAATCCTCCTGGCATTTGTGCAATATTTTTACTTGCACGCACAAAGAAGAATTCAATTTAAATGATCTTCAGCTTCAAGCAGTCACAGATAAAGTTATTCATGTTTATGTACATGTACCCTCACATGCACACACTAACCATCCCACAAGACTCACTTTAAATCATTATGTGGAACCTTAAATAGCTTAACTTCACACAAACAACATGCACTTCTATACAAATATGAAGCTAAAGAGATTTTAGTGATTTTTCTTCCTGTATAACTAAATCTGTTAGGTCTGCAGCTTAGTTGCAAAGAGAATCAGAAACAATGTCAACTGGAGAATCTATAGAATCTGTCATAGCCAGTTTGAAGGAAACCATGGCTGATGGGGAGCACAGCCCAGCCAGCTGGGGTTACACACAATGCCTACAACAAAAAAAGCTTTTGAATTTCCAAACAAAACACCAGGGAAGTGTTGGTAATTTGGATTTCATATTCAGAGCTCTAAACAAGTGTCCACATTTTAAAAGTGTCTCAATGAATAGCCATTTAAATTAATACAGCCTGTGGCAGAAAACCCCAGTTCAGAGTTGTGAAATATCAGCAGTCCATCAGGACATTTTGCAATAACATAGTGATGTGCCCTCAGGATCCTTTATTACACTACAGCATAAACTGATCTCCAAGATCAGCTATTAGAACAGCACATAGAAAACCCGAATTATTATCATGCTATTAGTACACAAGTATTTTCTTGGGACATTTATTTGTTTATTCATTGCATAAAATTACTGGGCCACAAACCTAACTTTTAAAAATTCCATAGTCTGTAGAAGCACGTACATATCTAGAAATACCTCAAATCAAAGAGATCTGTAGAAAAGAAAAAGCAAAATGGGGCAGATAATATTTCAGTGTACTTTAGGCTTAAACTGAACAGTACATTTTCAGTCTTTTGTTGCTCAATTTCAAACAAATTTACAGGAGTTAACAACTGCATGAATCCAAAAGCACCAGGCACAACTCTGTGGATAACCAATTCTGATGTCTGGGTAATTTTAGCAGGTCTCTTCAAGTAAATCATGAACAAGTTCATTCCATTAGAGCAGTCCTGTGCAATAAACCCAATCAGGACTTAATAAAAAATAGGTACAGCATAATAAAAAGATGTAGTCTGTGAGCATTAACTTCTCCTGTAGCAAAATAAACCAGGAGAATACCCAGAGGTTGAGCATGGACACTAAAGGTAATGGTGGGAAAGATAAATGGAGCCTGATCAAACTGATACTGCAACAGCAGAAACAGAATAACTGCTTCAGATGGTCCAGGGGAAAAAGGGTTTTTGGAAGTTAAGCCAGAAGAAAAAAGAACAGAAGAAAAGAAGAACAGAAGAAAAGCAGAGGAAGTAATTTTGGAGTGCAAGGGCCAAGTAATTAGCTATTTTGATTACACATTTTTAATGACAGACACAAAGACAGAAAATTTCCTTAACATAATCTTATCTCGTGGTGCTAATGCTAGAGAGAGAGAGACTGCAGAATGAGCAACAGCCAACTTGGTGTCTCAGGACACCTTCCTGCAGTTTGGAACAGCATTCCCAAAGATCCAGGCTGCACTCTACTGTTATTGGGCAAAATGGCAGAGCAGTGGGTTTACCTAGAACAGTTCGGCATTTTTCAAAATTAAACCCAGTAAACCCAGGGTTACACAACAGATTTCACAGTATAATAAAAGATCAGAGTTCATTATTAAAAAGGAAGACATTTTGCAAGGAATTTTCTATGTGCTCATGGCTCAGCACTGGAATCTGAAACGCTCCTTTAATGCAATATTGGTAGTAAACTAGTATGTTTGTGCTAGAGGCAAATAACAAACAAACACACACCACAATTATCTATTTGGAAAAAAAATGATTTAAATGCAACTTTTCTAAGCAAAAATTTCTAGCACTTGAAATCTGATACTTTCAGGAAGATCCTTCTTTGAGCAATTGGCCTCTCTCCTTTGCTCTTGAAGGTATCATAAATCCATCATGCCTCAGTCTAACAATACTATGAAGGCACATTATAGATAGGCCCAGATATGTAGCAATAAACTGCTTTTATTTTTACTTTATTTTAACTTCAGTAATGGATAAAACAATAAAAACTGTCTTCATTAGGAAGCTCACAAAGCCCTGATAAGATACAATGGATCTGAATGTCTGTTCTGAGTTTCTTCCCCCCTCCCTAATTTCCAAAGTCCAGCAGTGGACATGCCAAAAGAAATAAGTAAAAGACACTTCAGATTGAAAGTAAGAGATAGTTTAGACATTGGCTGTATCTATACAAGTTTTTCCAGCTTTTATGGAATATTTGATTCTCTAAGAAGAGTAAGTCATTGTGAACGAGATGTTATATCTCAAAAGAGATGTCAGTGATTTTTGATCGTATCTCAAGGTTAAAAAAAATTCACTAGATCATAATATTGCAGAAAATATACCAAAATGGAGGTAAATAATACATCCATCATTCCAGGAGCACAGTCTGATAAAGAGTGGGATAAGGATCACTGAGATATTACTACTAACAATATTGTCCTGTACTTACAAAGTTATTCAATTACTTTCTGTATAAATCCATTGCTTGCCTCAGAAATTATTTGAAAACGTTGCACTTATTTTAGTCTTTTTCCCTAGAACCACGACATAATAATCACAAAATAATGAAGCACAAAGGGCAATTATCTCAGCAATGCACAATAAATAATTCTCAGAGGCCTACCATCAGTCTGTAATGTTCTGCAAAGTTTAGAAAACTGGGAAGATACTGAAGCTTTAGCCATTTTCTGTTTAGACTCTCTCATTTTGATGCCCTGAGCCAAAAATCATTCTTCCAGCTAGTACATGCATTTGTTTATTGCAGTGGATAACAGCAAACTTTACTTAGAAAGGTTGATTGAAATGTTTTCTGAATTGCAAATCCTCAAGTTTTCTAATATATATAAGAGGTTGCAGCTTTATTTTTACTGGAATACTGTAGCTGTTATGACTGATCATAAACTGTTTTTGAGTCAAAAGTGATTAATCTAGAAATAATAAGATGAAACAGGACAGGACAAAATATATTAAGTGCAGAACACTTAAAAGCATGAAGTCATGCTTAACCTCTGCCATTTTGACAACAGAGTATGGGAACTTTAAGGGTGGAGTAGAAATCAGGAAATTCGGCATATTATTCACCATGAAGGAATGAAAAAATGGGCTTATTTTAGCCTCTAATTAAATTACTTTTACTACACCCTCTTTTCCCCTCTGAAAGTCTGAAGATATTCCAGTCTTTTCTACTGACACTTATATGTCAGTAATAAAACATCTACCATTTAAGTTCCGAGTCTCCCAAACGTGAATCAACCATATACAGTGAAATAAGTCTTAATGTACATTTCTTTTCTACATATACAAATAGAATTCTCTTACCTTTTGTTGGACTCTGGTTCTGATCTATAAATCCTTTCAAGTCTCCATTTGTGGAAGTCACACCAACCTGAACAAAACATTTTTGAAGTCTTAAAATACGATAAACCTTTCTTTGTTTTCTAATGCACAACTAATAATATTATGAAAGTAATCTGTTCTGCATTATGAACCATCATAATCCTATGGACAGTAGAGTATAACAAGAGCATGAGATTCAAGGCAAAGAATTCAGTTCAATTATATTCTGCTACTGCACTACATGTGACCCAAGCAGCCCATTCTGGCTGTTATGGTGTAAGTCACTGTCCCCTCCAAGTCAAATGGAGCAGCTGCCACCAATAACAGCACAAACCTGCCTGATGTCCAGAACCCTCAGTATTAAGCTGCACAGGGTCTACAGGTCTGAGATGTGACTATTGATGCATTTTAGATACATTCCCCAGCTTCCAGAGATGAACTGACTTACCCTGTGGGCAAGAGGTAAATAATACTTACTTAGGGTAAGTTACCAGATACATGGAGAACTGAAATCATACACAGAATGGTGCATCTCAGATTTTGGCAGGTACACAAAGCATGGAAAGGTGCAGTTTGTACAGAAAAATGTAAGATCACAGTTCCTGGATGAGGGAGGGAAGAGATGGAAAGTCCCTCATACCCCAGCTAACAAGGGATGGGCCCGGCAGCAGCAAGGAATGGTAAGGCACTTTGCAGCTTCAGCACATTATGCTCACACCACCTTAGAAACCTCTGTCCAACAAAGCATTCTCTTTTGCTTCCAAGCTGGGAGAAGCACTGGGGGACTGAGCTCTGCTGGGGCATTAGGCAACTAAACTAAATACAAAAAAACTCTTTTTAAAACACTATAAGATTTGATACTTCTGTAAGTAATTGGGACAAAGGGGCCTGGTATCCAAGTTAAGAGAAAACAATTATATGACCAAGGATCAAATATTTGCTTTATTTTACAGATGTATGGAGCAACAATGGAACAGATGTTAGGGCCACTTGTAGAATTTTAATAATCTCAGATTAGAACATAATTTAATTTTAGATAAATTAAACAGTAACTAAAATAAACGACACATGAAAAATACCTACCATAAGCATTCAGACGCTTGGTTCCACTAAAGAACTTGTATTCAGCAAATAATTTCTGTAGGGAAAAAACTGCACACGGCATTGTGTGAAACTATTTCTATCAAGATTTTTTCACCATCAGGGGACACACAAAATGATTAACTGTTGCTGCACTACTCTGACTGTAAAACACTGCCTAAATGAGCTAATTAGGTGCTTCTGTAAACAAGCCCTAAAGATGCTCAGTGCAGTCCCTCAGTTTATCTCACATGTTGTTAGTATCCCACCTGCCCTTGCCTGTCTGTCCTGGCACACCCCCCTAGACTCTCATCACTGTTTCCCAGGGGCAGCCAGGTGCTTTGGCTGTTGCAGGCGATGGTACCACCAGAAGCTGTTTTGAAAGAGAGCAAGTGTGTCCCATGTTCCCTCCCCATTTCCCAGGCTGTCTCCCAGCAGGCGGCAGCAGTGCAGCAGAATGCAGCGGGGCTGGGGAGGGAACACCGGGATTGGAGCAGGGCAAGGGAATGAAGGCATGAAAACAAAAGCAAAACCTCTCCTATCACGATGTGGGAGCAGATCCATATGGAAAACTGAAGCACTCTGGTATTTTCCCCCCCAGGTGCTTGGGTGCAAGGAGAGCTCGTCTGGCAAGAAGCCGCTGTGGTTCCTTACACTGGAATGTGTTCTCGAGGAGAAGTTTAAACTAGAGGCTGGAGAGGTTGGTAACTGCACAGTGAATAGCACTGGAAGGCCATTCCACCGCCAAGGGAAGAGCCAGCACTCCTGGATCATGCTACTGCTGCCTTTGCACAAACAACAGCTTCTCCCCAGGCCCCTTGCCTCTGCCAGAAGGAACACAAATAGGAGTAATTCTAAATTCAGAGAAACTACAAGGGTCCATAGGGATAAATATCATGTTAGAGAAAAGGGCCTCAATTCATCTCAGGAGAAGGGATAATAATTATGATGAACATCCCCAAAGACACCACTGCAATTTGTTCACAACTGAACATTCAGCTCTAGATTTACAACTGCATTTCCCTATTGATTCATATCAGCACTTCAATTAAACACTGAAGGTGATGTACATGTGCAGTGTCAGAATGAAAAGTCTAACATTTACATTTCATTCTCTCAAAGATTTAGATTATTTAACTGAATCCATATTTAAGGCAATATAAAAAAGTACTTGAGGGTTTTTTTGTGTGTATGTGGTCCTTCAGTTATTCAAATGACATAAGATTATAGCAGAATTTCAGTTTGCACATAAATATGTTACTTTCATTACAATGGTCCTAAGTGCACATTTATAAAGAGCATCCAATAAACAGCAGCACTTTTCTAAATTAAATAATCTTTGTATCTAAGTTTAGAAGAGTTTGAAAAGAAACTTGAATTTCATGAGAACTTAAATGAAAAATATGGTAGACTTAAAGGAATTTGCTTCTCTTACAGAGGAATAATCATAACTAAGCCCTCAGAAGTAGCAATGTGTGATATAATATTACAGTACTGCAGCAGAACAGACCTTCACAGTATTCCATCTCAGTGTTAGAGGTCTCAGGCCAGGTTGTTATCTGGATCCCACTGCTTCTGGGATCTTGTAATTTAACCACTCCTAAACTAAAACCAGCAAACAATCAAACGCTTAATTGGTATAATTTGTTATTTTTGTATGTCTCATGTGATATTTCTGCTTTATAACAGTGCCCCAGAGTGTGGATTACTGGGAATGGCAGGACCTGCACTGCTGCTCCTGTCCATCTGTGGCATGATGAGCCCAGCCATGAAGTAAGATGGAGAAAGCACTTAGCAGGCCTTCGTACACTGTTAAATACTTCCACTGAAGTATTATGCCTTTTTTATCAGGCAACTAATTGTCCAAATGGGACGAGGGGAAAGGAAAAAAGAATCACAACAAGCTCTTGTAGCTTCCCAGCCTTCTCTAAGGCTTGACATACTGCTCAGGGCAAGACTCCTAGACCAACTGCAGCAGTTAAACTTTCCTCCATGCTGACATGTGAAAGGAGAGCTATCACACCCATTTAACTGACCTCATCTACAACAAGACAACCACCCTGAGAAGCAGTGAAAAATAACTTCACGTAGATAAAAATTCAGAGCCAACAATCAAAACTAACAGACTTATTGAAAAAATCTGCTTTAGTCAGATTATTTATTTGGTCCTAAAAATAAGTTTACCATGAATATTTGCTCATTTTTTCCTCCATTTCTCAATTCTGTTTTGGTGCCGTCTTACTTGAAGGACAGATGGGAATGCCAGTACAAATCAGGCAAGAAAAACACATTTTATGATATAAGCAAAGAATGAAATAACCCAATAAGATAGGGTGATTAGAATTACATCCAGGTGCAATGTATATTATATATACACAACATCTCATCTCCAAGAGAATCTGTAACTTTTACTCAACATTTTATTATTTGTAGCTGCTTTGTTTGGATTAGTTTTTTATGGAAGGTGAAATTACCCATAAACAATATTTCACAAGCAGATGGTAGAAAGTGTCCTGCATTTAAAGGAAGTGAACAGTGAGCCAGTCTTGATAATTTTCCAATCCTGTACTCAAAAAGTTAGGAAGGAAAAACAGTGATGGGGAACATTATTCATCTTGCATACACATCCAATCTATGGAAACATTTTGGCATGTGCTTGAAGCACAAGCTTCCTTGGAGGGAAGGCTGCTCACCCCAGCTTATGGCATGGGAGATGAAAGGCCATTTTAGCCTAAACTCACTGCACTTGGCTGTGATGCAGAAGGACCACAAACATGCCCAGACTCTGTCCCAGCTGGGGGCAGTGATTTCAGAACACAGAGGTGGCAGCTTCCCTGTGTGTACAAGTTTAATGAAAGATATGTGCCCTTTAAGAGTTTTCAGGAAGCTGCCCAAGTTCCAGTACTTTGGCGTTCGCTTTCCTTGATGCTTCAACGTAAAGGAAAAAAAGATAGAAATACTTCCACAGAGAAGTTCTCTCCCTCAGCTCACTCTGCAGATCATTAAACCATATCCAACAACATAACAGACAAACACTAACCCTGCATCTGAAACAGGTTTTGAACTGCAGAAACCAACAGGCATATGCTAAACCCCCCAACTCTGCAAATTCAGAAGCATTCTTGGGCCTTCTAACAACATCAGAAAACACTAGGGATGACACTGATACCCAAAGTATCAGTCTAAGTAACTAAGGTTTGGAAAACCTGAAGAAGTGCTACAAATAAGGACACAAAGCATACGACCCTGCAAAATTTCAAAGCATACATACCAATAAAACATCTCTTCTATAAAGTAACCATAGCCTTGCAAAACCACATGTCTGTATTCAGCACAAGAATAGGTTGCCCAGACTGAAGGTTCATGTCTGTCCTTGGAGACTTTCAAAACCCAGAGCCCTGATGGAGCCCTGAACAAAGCACCAAGCCACTGGATTCCAGTGTCAAAGAGCTTTACACAAAGCAGCACAATATATGGCCTCCTGAGATCCCTTCCAACCTATGCCACTCTGACTCCATCACGCAGCACTCCAGAGATTTTATTGGGATTGGTATTTATCCTTTGACTGCATCAAACAAAAGGTCAAAAGCACAAGTGATCTGGATTTGTTCAGCTGTTCCACATACATCAGTAGAACTACTTATTGAAACTAGAGATTAAGATGATCTATGAAATAATAAGTCAAAGGGCTTTGCATATATATATCAAATTATCTTCTGTCTTGGTAAGCCTGAATCAAAAAGTGAGATTTAAGACACCTCAAAGTCTGGAACTACACACCAAATGAAGCTACTAATAAAGCCAACAGAAACTTCTGAGAATTGAGAATTAATTTAACCAAACTATGCTCCTGGCACCAGTGTAACCCAACATGCACAAAAGCTTTTGCAGTTACTGAACAGAGCACCACTCTGGGCTACCTGCACTTTTACCATGGGGCACTTCTTTGGGGTTGGTTCCTGAACCTGTTCAGATTTACCCAGACTTCAGGATGCCCTGTCAAAGGCTGTCAACAGGCAAATTGCTCAGGGCCCAAAGTCATGCTCAACTTAGTGATCACCAAACTTAATCAGAACTGTTCTCTATACAAATTGTGTACCACAGGAAGCACAGCTAATTAGGCAGAAAATTCAGGTCAGGATGTTAGACACTTTATAAGCATCTTTAGAACCTGGGATAGAGGAGTCAAACATGGAGCCTCCAGACACCACACTACAGGCTTGTTAATGCAGCAAGAGAAGAAACAGGAACACCCTTGGTCTTCTAGAAACCAAGAGTGTACTGACATAAGTAGAGAAATATGCAGTCTTTCTGTTCATTCTTGAGTTTTGAGGCAGACTCAGTAGAAGGATTTTGCAAAGGTGACAAGATTCAACACAATGAGCAGCTCTCAGGTGAGTTTGGAGCAATATTAGAAGAATCACAGACTGACAGAGTATCTCAAGTTGAAAGGGACCCGAAAGAATCAATAAGGGAACAGCACAAAGCATTGCCTCACTTATCAGCCTGACCCACAGCTGAGTGGACTCCACATCCTTAAAGAGCTTCAAGCCAGTTTAAATTTATCAAAACACAGCAGAAGATGATGGGATAATACATTTGTGGTGTACAAAAATCAGACAAGATTTTTCAGTTTGAAGGTCTTAGTGCTTGATTTCTTATGTCTGTCCATCCAGTTCTGAAAGCCAGCAGTGACTGGTAGCGTGCCAATATACAAAGTAATACATGTTGCAGAGTTATACTTACATTTTTAGCCGTCATGTCAGACAGTATTGCTTTATATTTCGTAAAACCATAAGATATCCCTTTTCATCTTCACAGAATCTTTAAAAGGAACATCCTGTAAGAAAGTTAATGAAATATCTTAGGTGAAACCCCACTTTTTGATAAAATCAATCACCACAATAGTCAGGTTCTTCACAGATACTAGAAATGTACATTGCTTGGGACAGGCAGAGATGAAATCCTATACACAGACACCAACTTAAAGAGAGGCCTAATTACATTAATGTGTTAGCAAAGCACGTCATGCCATTACTGAAGCTTTTTAATTAAAACCATGCAATCTTTTGCACCTAATGCAGAGTATGTCTTTATAAAAGGGAAGTGAATTACTTCTCTCCATTGTGTCTTTAGACACCAACAACAGAGAAAGCTTTTAATGAAATGTATATATATGGAAAACATTCAGTATTTTTAGGAAACATGCAAGAAAAAAATTGCAGTTAAAACTCATCTTTTAAATATTTTATTAAATCTGTGTAATTAGAATTATATTATTAGAATTCCAGGAAAAGACAAAAATTTGGTATACTGAAAAATACTTAAAAGTGACTTATTTTTTAAATGAAAGCTTCCAGAAGTCTTACAGAGAACAGAAGAAAAGTTACAAATCAATGCTGGCAGCACAAACCATTTTAAAGATGGAATTAACTTGTCAAAGTGTTTAAGTACTTCGAAAGTACTTCATAAGTACTACCTGCAGTTAAAAATGAATTATAAAAGACATTTGAATTGCACTTGGATGTGTAAGAGAGGGAGAAATGTTCACACTTTCAAGTGTGGAATCAACTCAGTAAAATTAGGAAGATACCTAAACTAGTTACCAAATATGAGTCACAACCATTTACAGCAGAACTCACCACTACAAAAGCAGGGTGCAATTCATGTTAATTCCTCTGTATTTTAACTTACATGAGATTTGAGAACAGGCAGTGCCTTCGCCCCCTTCGAGGAAAGTGCCAGGAATTGTTCCAGTGTGTGCACAGCTAATGGGGCACTCTACCACCACTTCCCATCACTGCATTAGTAGTTTTGGACAGCCCAGAATATTAAATTCTAGGCTGTTTCTATACATGTCTTGGTTTATTTGGCCACCGTATCAATAAAACTTTCAGTGGAAAACCATTTTACTCAACATAGAGGTGTCCTCCATTTCCTGCTGAATGAGTTGTATTTAATCCTTAGTGCCTCCATTTATTGCAGCCATGATTAAGCAGTTGCTCCAGCATGTGAACACCACACAATTCTACTAAGATATTCTCCTGTGAAAATTTGTACGTTTCACTTTTACAACAAAACATCCAAGAAAATAAGAATAATTTTTCTCTGACTTCAGAGAAGGTGCTACTGAGAGATATCTATTTACAGCCTGGGGAAAGGGGCCACTGCATCTGTGCAGCAATCCTGAAACCTGAAGAAGAGTCATAGAAAAGCCTCAAGGCTACAGAGGTCATGGAAAAGAGTAAAAGCTGAATTTTTGCATTGCATCTGAAAATTATGATCTTTGTGCTTGTTCTTTTTTCACCTTTCTCATCCTTCCACACAAACTCTCCAAATATATCATTTGGAGCTCTGGCCAAAATTCATGATGCAGTTTGACCTCTCTTTCTTTAAGAGGCTTTACAAGTAATTTACTCAAATAAACCACAGTTAAGAACACATTTGCTAAGCAGTTTTAATCCATTTACATATAAGCAAACCAGGTTCATCTTTAACAAGTTATTTGCTGTCAAGCTTAGTGATCCAGAAGGTATTGTCCATAAACTATTACAGTCCTTCTCCACAATGCTCTTCAGCCAGTATGAACAGTTGGTATTCTTCCAGCTTTATGAACACATTTTGTCAAGCTCAGGAAGCCAGACTTTGTGACCCCACCATCTGCCATGACCTCTTGTCAGGTTCAGACAAAAGAACCGACACAGATGGCCTCAAAATGGAGATTCTCTTCATCCCCAATTGCTGCTTGTGCTTGCACCACACAGATGGAAAAACATAACACTCAACCTTTTTGTTCTTTAGCTGGTTCCTACCGAAATGAAGCTGCATAAAGACAAGTTTGGAGCCAAAGCACTTGAGACACGAGGATTGCTTTATCTGAACTAAGATTGCCCCGTCATTATCTAAGCCTTGGTTTATAATCTGCTCCCATAATTCTGCCTTTTGGTCCTATATTGCATGGTACAAGGAGCCAGCCAAACTGTCTGACTTTGTAAACTTTGACTTGTAGCTTCTTCTAGAACATCTGTTTCCTAATTGCTTATGCCAATGACATTAAAAAGCCAGTTTGAGCATTAAATTTACAAAAGCCCAGATAATCAAGCTCTAGCTACAACAAAATTGTTGTTCATTTGTACCTATTCTCCTTACAAGTTAAAAGTCAAATCTGTTGTAAAGTTTCTGTGATACTGAAGCTGAATCCCAGTACCAGAAAGAAAACAAACCAGAAAACAGTCATCTGCAGAATGACATTACCTTCCTTCTTACGTTTATTTTCTATGGTCTAAAGTTTTATTGTTCAATTGTCCCTATAAGGCACATGTAGTGAGTAAAACCTAATAGTAGAAAAGAATAAAGTTATGTAACAAAACACTCTGCCCTTGAAAATTAAGATTTACCACACTTCTCAAATTATCAGTACTTCCCAATCAGACCTTCGCATAGACCAGCACCACACCAAGATCTTCCTCAGTGCCAGAGGCCAGTTCACCACATCAAGTGTCATTTTTATGTAAATATTACATCACTACTAAACAGTTACAAATGAAGACAACTGTTGGATAATTACTCGAACTGTTACAACATTAAATCTTCATGATACACAAGAAAAAAAGGAGATAGTTTAGGATACTAGAATGATTTTTATCATCAACAAGGAGCACTTTTTTCATTTACTTGATCAAGAGTACTGCAAAATGAAAATTATTCCAAGTGACTGGGTCAGCTAAGAGGAAAGTGTGATCAGTTTCAAGAAAAAGAAACCTGCATTCCACTAGAGATTAATTTATATTCTTCACACCTCTCTCCATAGTACTGACTTCCAAGCTATGGTACTACAAGGTTGATTTCAGAAGACAGCGGTAACAAAAAGATTCCTTATTAATCAGTACAGGCTCACTGTTAAACCACTAATTTATGCACAGCATCTACATGGTTTAGACCACCTGTTACACATATGCTGCTTCTTTGTGTCTCAGTTTTCTGACCAGTAGAATTTCAAAATTATGAAGTACTTATCAGAACTCCACCTGCTCCCAGGAAGTGTTTCCCTATCTTGTTCCTAAAAAAATATTTCAATATCCACCTCCTTTTTGAAGAAATTGAGATTAAAAAAAGACCAATTTTAGTGAAAGTATCTGTATGTACAAGTAAGATTCATTTCTTGGTATCCCACGCAACAGAAATGCAACTTTGTTAGCAAATTTCTGGAATTTAAATTACAGATTTTGAATCCCTATAAGAAAATTCCATTGATCTGCCAACTTTTTTCTGAGTCCTCTTCAGATGACTTTGTCCCAGTTTTATCCTTCATATACACATACAAGAAATAAATTCAGCCTACAAACTGCAAAAGGCAGGAATACCATGTAACATCCGGCTTGTCACTTCATGAAGCACTTCAAAAAGGAGTGTATCCAACAAGTCACACAGAGAGTGGGAAATAAGTCACCACCTTCAGCTATCACACAGTAATTTGTATTTTGAAAACAATGGTAGAAAGTAGCTCTTAGGAAGCATTTGAAAGGAACTCCCACCATGATGTGTATGATGGGGGAATTGCAGGTGTAACTTCTTCTTCCAGCTTTTACTGTGAGCAATGGTATGCCTTCAGAAAAGTCCAAGTAGGTAACAGACAAGGTGATCAGAGAGACTCAACAAAGGAAAACTAAGGGACTTGACCACTAAATGATATTAGAAGTTTTTAACAAAATAAAATAATTTGAGAAGAGTAGTGAGTTTAAAAGCTTCATTTAATCACTTTTATTTGACTTAAAAGGCTGCAGCCTATGAATCCAAAGTTTTCCCTCCTACAAGACACAAAAATGAAATGAGAATGGCTGCCTTAAACCAAGGTGCAAATGGAAGATAAAACTACCTGAACCTAATTTGAAAGCAAAGATCTCACCATGTAGTTGAGACTGAGCAAAATCCCAAGGTGTCATCAGAACAAATCAACTGGCACCTGACAACAGCAGTAATTATGACTCAAGTTTACACAGCACAAAGAACTTGGAAACACAGCCAAGGCCTACCACACAAGTTCAATGAGTACAAACCATAGCACTTCAGTGGTATAATGAACAGCCACCACCCAGTGTGGTTTGCCCAAAGCACGTCAGGGGAAATGCCCCTTTAAGGACTTCATGCAGCACATCCCGGGGCACCAAATTAATTGGCTCATGGTCAGTACTCTCAGACTCGATCCCAAATGCCACAGCCCCACTACTCCCACCACTTGCTGTATTTACTCTCACTGCTGTACTTATTACATGACTAGCAACGTACATATTATATGCAGATGTAAGTATTACGTGACTATATATGTTGTACAGATATACGTGACTGCCACAAGCACCACTGATGGAGGTTACTGAGTATCTTGAATCCCAGGGATGAAGACAGGTCTGAGTGGATGTACACGTGACAAGAACACACAACACAGGGATAAAATCCAAAGCTGGATTCAAACTCTTCCTTAGTTGCAAGTGCCCAAAGTCTCCATGCACTGAACTGCACTGCTGAGCCTCAAGTTCTGCTGCTTGTCCAGTCCTGACAGTGCCGAGTCCCAGATCCCAGCAACCTAGAACTGGATACTCCTGCCCTCAAGCGACTTAGTTTCTTAGGCATGTTCTCAGACATACTCAGTGTCATGCCAGTACTAGCAGTAAACTTTATGTCTAAGAATAGGAGCAGCACTCATGGCTTATGTCAAAATCAATGAGGTGAAGCATGTCCCCTATTGCCCAAATAAGGAGAACATTGCATTAAACGTGGTATAATTCCCAAGTACTTGAACCTTTGAAGGTTCTTTTAATTCCCCAAACCAGCTTATTGTCATTCA